TGTGGGGGGGGGGGGGGGGGTGAGGATCCTAGAAAAAAGCACACTTGAGTTGGATGCTGCGGGTGAGGCGAAAACAACTCACAGCTCGTCGAGGGTAGTCCGTTCGATTGGCATGCCCAAGATCGGGTCGCGGCCATTTTCTTCGGCACACATTGGTCACGCATCTAATCCGTCGAGGGGGTCATTATCCCTCCTTCGCGTGTTGTCGTGACGGACAAGGACAAAAAGGTCGACACGCGACGTCTTCTTCTCTCCAACAAGCGCACAACTCAGTACATGAGCTAGAACAAAATATCATAAGGCCTTCGGATCAGGCCCAAGGCTATTATGACAGGTGTGGTGGTGGTGGTGGTGGCCAAGTACAACGACAGCAGTCAGTATTGTGCGGTCCGGCCGCATGTTGCTGTAGCGTTGCAGCAATACGTGCAAGAACGGCCATGAAGACAACAGTAGTCGGTCAGCAGCCCAAAGGTCTTTCTCTACAAAGCAAGCACGACAGTCGTATGCCCCAGCAAGCTGATTCATCAACACCAACACCATCAACAACAGCAAAAAGAATACCAAACACAACATCACCATCACCATCAACAACAACAACATCGAAAAACAACAAACACAACATCACCATCAGTGACACCAGTACTAGCACAACCAACTGTCGAATCCCAGCCTTCTCACGCTAAACCCCTCACCCGGATAGCCAGACAGGAACAGCGCATCCCACCAGCAAGAACAGGTGCGTCACCACCACGCATCCCCCATCCCTCGCGTCCAAAAAGCCTCCGTAGTAACCGTCCATCGCGGAGGCCAGGGGGGGGCATCCGGTGCAGCGCAAGAACTCAAGAGCCAGCAGCACCCCCAAGGCCGTACCCAAGGCCAGGGACAAGAAGTCGGGTTCGAGAGCGATCGCCGGAACGAACATGGCAGTCGCCAGAAAGTGGAACAGCTTCCTGGATGTGGTTTTCCTGCCGGAAAGGGGGAGCCGTCTCGACAGCCACGGGACCGAGGGAACCACAACCGCTAGCGCCAGCACCCACCCCGCCACCAGCAGGGGACGGTTCCCACCCATCCCCTCCCCAATACCGCCTTCGCCCCTCATCTCCGACCACGCCCACCGAAACACGCCTGCCGCCACCGCGCCCCCTCTCCAGCCCTCTGTCACGTGTTTGTCTGTCCATGATTGGATGCATAGACCCGCGCGCGTAGCGGTTTCCGCCGGGTCGGAGTAGCCCACGGAGTGTAGGGCAACCCAAGCTACCGGGTTTGAGTATCCCAGGAGGGGGGCAGTCCAGTAGGTGAGCCATGCCGCGGTGCCGCCCGCCAGGACGGTGTAGGTTAAGGCGCAGCTTTGCCATGGCGGTCGGGAAGACCGCCATCCTGCTCGCCGTTACGATTGACAAATTAAAAACCAATCAGAGGGAAAGACGAGAAAAACAAGCAGCACAACAAAGAGGGGTCATTTAGATTGGGCAAGAAAACACACACAAAAAAAAAACGCCAGGAAACAAGAGAGCGAAAAACCAATCAGTCTTGCGGGATGAACAGAAACCACGTTGTGCTAATTGCCTGTGTAGATCCTTGTGTTGGTCAGCCCTCTACGTTGTGTCCATCCCCTCACGTCCTTGCGGTTGCCAACTCCATACCTGCAGGTGTCAGCGCGCGAGCCGACGCCAAAGCAAGCCCGGTGACGAGGGTCCCTAGAATCCCGGTTTGAACCACTACCATGCTCTCTGATCTAGACGGAACACGCGGAAACATCCTCTCCCACGTGCTTGCGCTTGATCCCACGGCCCACAACTGCTTGGTGTTGTTTCGGGAGGGGGGGCAGACGTACGCGCAGGCCGGGAAGGAAAATGGCATTGAATATCATGGTATGGCATGGCTTGGTGAGGTTGGCGAGGATGCTACCACATTTCTGTCGGATCTGCCGCATCTGTTGTACCACGTTCCTCAAGAACCTCAAGCACCATTGCCTTGTGTCGACGAATCCGATTGTTTGTGGTTTGAGTCTCGCCCTCCTTGCCATTCTTGGAGCCGCTCGACATCATCAGAGGGTATAGCAGACCAGGTACGGTAGGGTCAACGTCGGCCCCGTTAGTCTCCACCCAGCTTGACAAAGCAGAGGACACTCATTGCTTTAACCTCTCCCTCGTCTGGCTGCACGCCGCCCTCCTTACATCTATCCTATCACTTCTTCACCAATTTGTGCACCACTTCAAGTTCTGCCTTGTCTCTTTACTACAAAAGGTTCCTCCTCGAAATCCCCTTGTAACACTCCGGACTGCCTTCGTGAGGACAATACTGAAATTGAGAGGGGGGGCTCGTTACCCTCCCCCTTCCCCTCCCCCTACCCCGTACTGTAACCCCTACAAAACCAAGCGCAAATACCTCGCGTAGGCTAGTGAACATTAACATTCCTCATCTTCCAAGCATGCCTACATCAATGTTGTAACCCATTTCACCTCTTGGACAGTGTAGAGGCAGGCATCTACCACCCACAGCGAGAGGGCATGGGTAAGCACCGCCGCTTCCCCGGCCCTCAAAGACAGCCGCCGCATCTGTCGCCCCTTGTGCAGGTCGAGCGCCCTGGCGACAGGCAGAGGGTTACAGCAAGAGCAGCAGAGGCGGCATCAAGCACTAACCGGCATTGGCGGCTCGTCCCAGAGGTGATCGGGCGAATTAAACATGGTCCAAGAGTTAAAACTTCAATCAGGTAGACGATGACATCGGCCGCAAAAGCTCTTGGTGGAGAAATCACAACAACAAGAATGAATAGCGCAGCAGCATCCAGCACCAGTTACGAAAAACAATACTACCGGTGACACGAGCATCGGTGGTCCCTCAGCAAGCCAGCATTGAAAAGCATCCCCACGGATCCAGGCCCTCCTCCCCTCCTGATGGGTGGTTGGTCGCCTCTTGTGATACTAAACCAACCCAATCCTGCCACCTTTGCGCTCCCGCCCTCCTACCCTGCTGCCGCCCGCGCTACTTTCGCCACCCTATCCCTTTCTTTTTCAGCTGCCGCCTCCTCCGCCACCACCACCCGACTTCCCACTTCCCTCACTCTTGCTGTAAAAGCCGCCGCCTGGTCCTGACACTGCCTTTCGAGAAATGTTCTTGCTTGTGCGGGTTCCTTCCTGTTGCCTCAAACTGTACTCGACAGGCTCTGCGTAGAAACGCAGTTGCTCTGGCTATTCTACACGTCACCGATAACATGCAACGCACAGCATAACCAGCTGCGACAACGTTCTGACGCCGAGGAGGGCGAGCATCGTACAAGGCAAACAAGAAGGGCCCGCACAAGCAACAAAATTTCACAAGGCAGAGTCAGGACCAGGCGGCGGCTGCAGCAGGAGCGGGAAATCAGAAGGTGGTGGCGGAGGCGGCGGCGGCTGAAAAGGAAAGGTATCAGGTGGCGAAAGCAGCAGCAGGATGCTGTAGGAGGGCGGGAGCGCTAAGGTGACAGGATTGGTAGCGTCAGCATCGCAAGAGGCAATAGGCGATCAACCACCAGTCAGGGAGGCCTGGACACGAAGACACGAAGACACGAAGACACGATCCGGATGTTGAGGGTGGAAGGACAACACCAGTATGTAGCAAGCAGACACCTTTGCTGCTAGGTAGGTGTCCGGTAAAAATGATGCACCGCATTGCGCGTAATCACTCTGCACTGCACGTTGCACGTTGTGTTTGTTGGCATCAAATCACCTTCTGAAGACGTCGTAGACGGCGACGCACCACAGCGGGAGCAGCGGTCTCCCGCAGCACATCAAGCACCCCGCCGCTATCGCAGCCAGTCTTGTCGGCGCAATACCATGCAACAGACGACGCCACATCCGACAGACAGGGACGGGTGTCAAAACATTGGGCAGAAGGAGAAGACGGGGGACAAACTTAAGGTCATCACATCCGCTAAACCGATCGCCCGGAAGCGCACTTGAGACGATGCGACCGTGGCTCGGGTCAAACCTCTCACACTCGACACTCAAGCTTCCTACCCGGCTCAATCGAGATGAAACCTCTTCCACCTCTCTCATTCGCCGGTCAAGACGCAAACGATGCTGCTCGGCTCTGCCCGCTTCGGTCGAGCCTTGTCGTCTACTTCGTGATTTATATTCAGAACAGAACGCATTCTACGCAAGTCGGACCCAGTCCGGATGGGCCCACAATCACCTACCCTGTTCGAGGCCAGTCGAAGGAAAAGTTTCATCTAGTCGAAGTCCACAGAGATTCCTTATCAGCACCCCCATACCGATCCTTGGCCTTGGCCTTGACCTTGACTTACCTCAGCGGTTGGCTCGACAGCAGACGCGAGAACACCGTGAGACTTGCCCGCCTTCTGTCTGTCCCACGAATTACCCTTTGTATCGCGAATAGCACCTGTCCAAACCACACGGCCGAGGGTCGGGCCGGAGGTGAACTCACTGCGGAGATCGTAGCCAGTTACTGTACGAACACACACGCTCTCGAACCCGTTCATTCCCCATGACGGACTATGTGAGGGGTCGAGCTTTATCCGAGAAGACTCGTTGGGGGGGACGGGATAGGGGTCAAACGGCACCTCTGTAGAGCAAATAGAAGTACTTGACATGAACACGAACCATCTCCCCACGAACTGCTGTGATTGGCCTACTGCAGGCTAGAACGTGATTGATTCCGCAAGATGAGCAAAAGACTCTGGCTTGTCCATGTAGCCCGTCACGAAAGCACCAGTCGCAGGTGGTGAGGGAAAAGGCACAGATTCAGGGCAGGGAAGCGAGCAAAAGGTAGGGGTTTGCCCTTCTTCAAAGCAACAGCAGTTACAACTTGCGGCGGAGGAAAACCTACCTTTTACAAGCTTCCACGTGCAAGTGCGGACCTATTGCTATTACTATTATAGGAGGTATCATAAATGAAACTTGTCTTGGGCAACATTTCTCGGCAACTATAACCCCTAGGCCATCAATGAAAGACTACGCTTTGCTCTGCCCCGCCTCCCCACTCACCTCCCAAACAGCGCACAGGGTCGAGCTTTCCAGAATTACTTCCAGGTAACCACTCAATTCCGCCCCGTCCGCGCAAACCGCTGCCGCACCACCACAACCACCCGCGACGTCACAAGAGGAAGAGGGCTTCGATGAGAAATCCCCTTCTCCGACCCCCCCTGCGCTTCCGGCGCCTCTGATGCGATTCATCTCCGCCAGCAAGAAGACGCTCGCTACGACCAGTGGCATGATGACCACGCCAACCGCCAACCCGTCAAGAGGGGGTGGTGGGACCGGGCGCGCGCCCTCTCCCGCCGGACTCCTGCTGCTACAAAGGATACAGAGAAGGGAAACAACAAACGTCCCGGCGATGGCTGGCGTTTTGAGGGGAGATATATTCTATTTGGAGGCCCAAGTTCTTGCACGGACTTGAACCTAAGCACATGCAAATGCAACCGCCGTTGCGATCTGCGACATACCCGGTAGTCTACAGCCGCATGTGTATATGCGGGTGGAGACTGCAACCACAGACGACGAGTGAGCTTGGCCAATAGGATGATATACACGTGATGTACGACTAAAAATGACGGGTTGACATTTTAAATGGGAGCTTGGCTGCTTGATTGCCAGAGGGCAGCACACTAGAGCATGCACAGTCACAGTAGTGCAGTGAAGTGGAACGCAAGAGACAGCAGAAGAAGCAACACACAACACAGCGTGGGAGAGCACGAAAGCGGACAAATCACAGAACGCAGCCCCGTAGCATGGGTGTCCTACACACGACCTCCTCGAACGAAAACGCTATACTACATGTATTGTACCGCGCGAACATTTGCTTCACTTGACTGCAGTATGCAGAGTACACTTTTGCGCCGCACCTCATCGCATCACTCCCACGGCCGCCGCCGCCGCCGCTGCCGCCTATACTACCAGCACTAGCACCGTCGAGCTTCGCCTCTCCTTCTAATAGCACATCCATTGATGCGGAGGCGTCAGCCATCTCTCCTTCTCCATCCCCCACCCAAGCTGTGTCTCTACGGCTGGCAGCCTCTGATGGTCGGTCCTCCCACTCGACGGCAACCAGCCGCTCTAAACCACCCCCCCCACCCCTCCCTCCTTCTCTTGGCGCAGCGGCCTCGGAAGATGACGATTGTCGGCCATTGCCTCGTGAAGAAGCAGCTTCCTCTTCTCCCTGTGGCATCTTGTGGAAAAACAGGAAGGTGTTGTGCGGGCGGGAGTGGGGCGGGATGGAAACAAGTTAGCAATGCTGTTAGGCAGAATTGGCACATTTTGTTTCTTAAACTATCGTGATGGCACAGAGCACCCCTCGGCGATCCCACGTGAACGGGCGTAATTGCTCAATAAATAAGTCTCCTGGTATGCGTCATTGTTTCCTAGTGAACGGCAGAAATTGCTCAATAAGTCTCCCTGTAGGGTAACAGTTTTGTACCACGCTTTTATCAACCCTTCATAGGTCCCAAGGTACCGTAGTAGCGAAGTTGGGTGCGGTATTCATTCGACGACACGGGCTCGATGTTCAGCAACAAACTATTAATACGTGCTTTTGCTCTCAACAGGTTTGGAAGGAGACTCATTATCTCGAGGAGTTTGCTTCACCACACCACTGCAGCCCGTAGAACTAAGGGTGTGACTGCTATTCTGCAAATTCGTTGGTGCAACCGCCACCCAGCACCCGCGGGAATCTTCGCCCAGTTTGATTATCTGGTTGGAAGCATCGTCCCCTCTAAGAGCCCTGCGCTCATTCACAAAAATGGTTGGTGTTCCCCAAGTTTTCTTGAAATATTAACAGTGTGTGTGGCCTCTTCTACCTCTACAACAACTTGTACGCGATTTCTTGCGTCTGGTGGCCGTGTGCTTGTGTGATAGCACTCCTGTTCGTGTGTATTCATACTAAAATTTGGTCTGATATGCGCTGTTAAGTGTCTATCCGGTACCTCCTCCTCCCGTCTATTCCAAGGCAAACAAACTGAATCGCATGGGTCACTCCAGAACTGAAAAGTATGAAAAAAACGTTTAAAAAGAGCGATCAAGAGACCCCCCACGTACTCTGTTTACCACCAGGTGTATCACATGATATTATCCGTACAACAAGCTAACAGCTGCAAACAACCCATCCAAGTCACAGATTGCCAGCACTTGAATTGAAAGATTTCACTACATGTTAATCTCTACAAAGACTTCAACCATGCGCTTCGACAACTGGCTGGCTCGAACGGGGGCGTCAAGTATTATACAAGTAAATTACTGACAGGCTTTCACCCAAACACTCAACACTCCCATCTTGAAGTGTCCAGCAGCAACATGTGCCCTATTCGCCCACGTATGATGAGGTGAGTGATGTTGCTCGTGAGAGGTTTACTTAGACTTAGAGCATGCTGCCGCAGAGGCAAAGATCTCGACACGCACATTAACAGACCGTCTTCGCTGTACCGTGGAACAAACTGTTGGACTGCGATGGGTGAAGTAACATGTAGTGACCGTTGTGTGCTCTTCGTGGGTTTGTTGTGTCGGGGGTATGTACAACATATCCCAACAAGTGCGAGCTATTGCACAGGTACAGACGCGCAGAACATAAACCTGTCGACAGGAAATGGAGGGCGTCCCTAGCCGCCGCCCTCAACACACGCCACCATCAGGTGAAACCCGAACAGAAGAAGACATGTTCGATATCCGTCGGCTTCTGTAACGTAACTGCTTTCCGCCGGCGCTGGGGCATGTGTACAGGACATCCATCCAGCGTCGGAGTAACAAACCTACCGCAGCGCACCTTAGAAGCGGAAGAGGGAGCGCTCGTACTCCCGCCGCGGCTGCTCCCAACGACCACACGCCCGGCCTTCGAGACCCCTATCCTAACCCCGGTGTAGGCGTTGACGCCGGCCTTGGCCACGCCCTTGACGGGCTTCAAGACGACGCCGAAAACTCCCGACCCTATCCCCCGCACCAAGCCCCTAGCTCCGTCGGCTTGCGCGCCACGAACGGGGTCCCGGATGATCCCGACCGCGGCCTGCGCCACGCCCTCCGCGATAAAGAGGACCTCGCCGCCCTTCCTGTAGTGGTGGTGATGCCGTTGACGCCTGGCTGGTGTTGGGGTTGTCGGTTGCGGTGCTGCTGCTGAGGGCGAACGTCGTTGAAGTGCTGACGACGTCGTTGTCGTCGTTGTTGCAGAGCCACCACCTTTGCTGCTGTTGTTGTTGCTGCTGGTGGTACCCCGCTTCGCTTCGGCGTGGCTGCTGCGGTGTAGATCGCCGTTCTTGGCGCTGCTGCTGCTCGGTGCGGTGCCTTGCTTCTCCGCGGCGGCCCTGAGCGAGAGTTCCAGAAGCTCCTCGGAATCCCGTCGTTCAAAATCTCGCATGCCGGCGGTGTTGGTGTCGGCCGCCGTGCCGTCGGCGGGGCGATGACGAAGAGAAGTCGCAGCGACGACGGCGGGAGAATCTTCCGCTGCAGAGGCCTCCTCCCTTGCCGGGGATCCGTCCAGCAGCAGCTGTTGTGGGGCAGGAGGAGAGGCTTCATCGCTGCGATGGTTGTGTGAGACGGGGCGCTCTCGTCGGCGAAGATCAAGACGCCGACCGCTGCTTTCCGGTGAAGAACAAGTCGACAGCACACCCAGTGCTGCCGAACAGACCACGCACAGGGCCAGAGCCGGCGCAAGGCTGGCGTTGCTCGAAGCTAGATTGATCTTCAAGATGGCCGGGAGGGACGCCAAGACGAGGGTGAGCGTCTCCCCGAATACGGAGAACATCGCCAGGAGAAACAGAGCAAGATGAGTGCTGCCGGACACTTCCACGCGAAGGCTTCGTCATGAGGGGAGACGCGTAGACGAGGTATCATGGTCAGGTACCCTCAAAATACTGTCTGGAGAACCCCCGAGCCACGTCGCGAGAACAGGCTCTGGGCGGCGGCAACACATCCACACACCGGAGACCCTCGTCTATCATCGACAACAGGAAGAAACAGAGAGCGAAACTTGTTGAGCACCCGCCTGGAGAATCATCCGCCATTCTATCGGGGACGGTCAATCACGTGTAGCGTCACGTCCCGAGGCGAAATCCCAACTAGGCGTCCAGCGGCGCCGAAACTTTTGTCCGCTACCCAACGATCCTGCGAGAGCCCGCGAGAGCGCGCCAACATGGAGGTGGCGGCAGCGGCTAACCACTACGACGAGATGGAGGACGAGATCAAGACCAGGCAAATGGCCATCAGCAAGGCGCAAGCGTATCCTGCCTCAAGCCTCGAGCGGCACGGTATGAAGCAGCCGGCGGGAGCGACCGCTGGCTCCAAGCTAGCGGCATATCGTGCATCCACCACCGCGATGACTTCGCACAACAGAACCGTAAGCCGCTGACAACACCTTCCGTGTGGTTTGATTTGGGTATGCGGCTGGGTGTGAAAGGTTCTACCCCAGGCCGATTAAAACTTGTGCGCTGTTGAAAGAGATTATTTCAGGGGCGCATGGCGGCAAAGTTTTTCATTCCTGTCATCTTGTCGGTTTATTTCGCTCACATCCTATGATACTGCTGTGGTCTTCAGCAGCCTCTCTCGCAGACTATTTTATAGGTAACTTGGGGGTGATGCGGTGGCACACAGCAGTCTAATGCTGTTTACATGAGAGTTGGGCCGCACTCTCTACCTCGCCTCCAGGTTAGGGCAAGTTTGCCATCCACAGGCAGTAGTGTGGGCTTGCTTCAACTCGGTGATGGACTTGTGAGCCAACGGTATTCATCCGCCTCTGTACCAAGCTTGTGCGCCAATACAAGATCCATCCAGCGATTACGGATATCTGCTAGGTACTGCTGTCGGGCGAGGGGGAAGTGATTGTTTCTCTCGTTCACGAGATTAAAGACCACCTAACGCTAAACCTCTCCCTGAACATAAGGGCAATGAAACAATTGGAAAGTTGTGTTTACCGTACATAGTGCTGCATGGCTCCGTGGCTGTCCCGACAAATGCGGCATGCACATTCCTACCCTGGCCTTCCATACGATTACTCCACACCCCAATCTCTCCTGCAGGTACATGTCCCCCCCCGCCCCATCTGTGAAACCCAACATTCTCGTAGAACTACTGCCTTCCCTAGAGTAGACGTGCACGATTGCCTCCTCGCGGTGGCTGGCCCTGACCTGACGTCAGCGAAACGGCTGTTGTTTGACGCTGCTGTTTGATTCCACATGGGGGTATGGTGCGGTCAAGCACAAGGCATCTATTTTTATTGTGCGTAGCAGTTGAATATTTCAGCCCCCATACCACTCCAATTGTCTTTTGTGCTACATCGTGGTCGTGTTGTTTGTCGCAGCAGACACAGCGACCTGAAACGTCTCGCAGCTCACTGCTGAGGATGCATTCATTTGAAACAAACCCTTACCCTTCCCTTTTCACGGGCCTCGTGTCTGTCTCCCGACAAGATGCTATCGCCCTCTTCAGAGCGCAGCACGTGATTTAACCGATACCCCCTGTCGATGCTACGATACGACCGTTGCAAGTACCCACATGTTACTTAGCGATCCAATCGACGGATCGACGCTTAGGAGAGTGTTCTTGCTTGGGGCGAGACAGCCATTTCTATCGTTGCCCTATCAACATCTTTCACTTGACACAATCGGGTACAACAACCCTTCGCGCGGCAGGGGATCATCGCCACACGCGTTCGCAGGCAACGTCACCCTCACCGAACCCCTTCACCGTACACGTACACCGCCCCTGTCCTTTTTGTTTGCAGACGAAACGCTTTCTGAGCCCCTCAGGGCCGAGCGCGCAGCACCCTTCCAAGCTTCAGCGGCCTCAGCAGTATCGCTCGACGTCACCGACACGGGCAGGCAGCAACGCCTCCTCGCCCATTGGTAGGGGTAGGGGTGACGCCAACGGGAACGGAGAGAGGGCGGGTGGTGATGAATATGCCGGCACGGATTACAGCAGGGACGAGACGATCGACAGGCTTACCAAGGTGCTCCGCACAAAGACTATGGAGATTAAGGTGAGCGAGAGCAGCAGAGGGGTTAGGAGCGAATGCGTGCTTAGTTGCAAAGATGGCTTGCTGGTGAAGCTTTGAACGAACGCCTGGTGTGTTGTGCTTTTTGGCCGTTCGCAAAATGGTTGTATCCACAACAACATTTCCGACTACAAGTATCACTCTCAACATTGCTCGCCGAGAAGATGCAACCGGAATCGCTACAATTACATGTACGCAGAGAGCCGCAACGTTTGTTGCGTTTCTGGGTCATCTTCCGCGTGTTGTCTGCTATCGCTATCGCGGTGGGTGGTCGGTCGTGTGGAGCTCCAGGACAATAGTTGGCAAATCCTAACCGTGCAAAACACCGGTTTGAGAGACAGGGGAGGGAGAGAAAGGGCTAACGTAAAGGCTGATGTCTTTGCTGCGGCTCGTTGTGGCAACAACACCCTAGAGTCTCCGTGGACACAAGCTTCGAAGTCGAGCTCCGCCAGCAAGATTCGAAAGCACGATGTACTAGGGATACAGCAGCCAGTAACGCGTATATTGGGCAGCGCCTCGTTCCCCCTTGATAATTGCTCAATCAAGTGTTGACAACATGTCGCTTTTGGTTTTTGCGCTTGCTCTTGGGGCGGATGGCCGATTTTAAAAGATGCCCCGCGTTTGTTGTTGTTCTTGCTCGGCGACCTCTCTGCTGTCTTTTGGACCAGCACCTGAAAGCCGACCTGAAGCGGTGTGAGGCAGTCGTGAGAGACGTCGACGTGACCGTGGAAAATATCAGCAGCGATTCCGCCGAAACGGACATGAAGGTGAGTATTTACCTATGCATGTGGCATCATCCGTTCTTCTGAAAAAGTGTCGGCAGCTAGTGAATACTTGTAATGGTAAGAGCATCTGTTGCGATTCGATCGTTGTTGGCGCAGCTATTCGTACGAGGAGTGGTAGAGGAAAATTCTCGCGTTTGTTTTCCTTCTTTTTTTCTGGCGTCCCAAGCATTCGGGACGTTCTTTTATGACACCTTTCGGTTTATTTTTTTGACGCATCAACCGGGATCACGAACGATCAAGACCACACGGGAGTAGTTTTGTTTTACTGGTGCGATCAGAGAATCACGCCAACGAAATACAGAAGACCGTTTGCCGCGTGGATCGACCTGATTGGCTGCTTGTGAACGGCTCGAACGTTTGTTATTTTGTCGGCGGTTGGTCGACAGATCGTCCATCTCGCTGACGACCTCGCCATCGAGAAACGAAGCCACCAGGAAGCGATCGAGAACATCGAGCGGCAGTCTCAGAGATTGACTGAGCTGGAGAAAGTCTCTACTGAAAAACACGAGGAGAACATGTTGCTGTCGGGACGACTTGAGGAGATTAACCACCTGGCCGGTCAGCAGGAGCAGCGGCTCCAGGAAGCAAGGGTGGCGGCAGCGGAAGCAGCGGCAGCGGCGGCGGCGGCTGAGGAGGCGGCAGCGGCGGCGGAGAAAAGGGTAGAGGCGGCGGAGGCGGCATTGGCGGCGCAGGGAGGGGGCGGGCTAGAGAAGGAGCTCGAGAAGCTTAGGCAGGCCGCGGAGATGAAGGCTAAGCAATTGGAAGCGGTCCAAGAGCGGGTAAGGCCACGCAGAGCTCCATTGCCTAGGTTGTTTATGTGTTTTGTTGCCGTTGATGACGATGGTGGTGTTTGGTGATGTGCCTGTGGTACTGCGTCCTTGAATCGTTGTGAGTACAGGGGTACACGCGTGTCTAGTGCCGGAGTTCCAGATGCCGCCGGTGTGGTCCGGTGCGGTTCACTCGCTTTCTTTAGTATGGAGTGTGAAGGCGTTTACGGGGTGCGTGTGTAGAGAGGTTATTCTTGCATGTGCAGTGCGGGTTGCAGCGTGTACGCTGCGGTTTTCTTGAAATACTGATGCGGTATACCACGTGTACGGTGCGGTTGCGTTACATGCGCGCCATGCGGCTTCAAACACGTTTCAAAATCCATGGGCCAGATGCAATTATAGTGTTCCCCCGCCCCGGGGGCTGGGTTCTTCACATCCACGCTACGTTGGAGTGGGCAGTACACGATTTTCACCGATTTTGGAGTCAGTGCAACCACTCGTGATCACAACTACCGTCGTGGCGGTGGTATTAAAATCAAAGGCTAAACAAAACCACTGTGATAGCTGTGCGCTCGTGGTTCGCAGGCAGAGGCGCAATCATGCCATTTCCTCTATGTCGAGACAGCAGTGTCCATAATGGTGTTGGTGGGCCCATGTAGGTGTGAGCGAAAAAAGCGGAAGCCCAAAAGGATCTGTTTTCGCGGGGTTTTGGCACGAATGTGCATGCTCACCAAGACACGTTCGTTACCTAGGGCCATGTGGAATCGCCACTACCGTATTAGCGCGGTCACTTCAGCGCCCGAACCACAATACCCCTCTCTATGTCGAACTCCACCGCCGGTTGCCAGGCGAGCAAGACCAACATGGAGCTGCAGCGCTACAAGGGGCTAGCGCGCCGCGGGCGTTTCAAGCGTTTGCTGGCGAAGCTCTGGTGGTTGCTCCGGGCCATCGGGTTCTTGGGCTTTCTCTTTTTCGCGTACGTTGCGGTGTCCGAAGGCACCTTCCGATCTCGCGGTGTTGATGTCTACCGGTTGGCGCACTGATTTGTCGCTGGTTCTCTTAATTCGTTTCCCGATTTTCTTGGTGGCCTTTTGTGTGTGAGCGTTGTTCGTTTTTTTTTTTTGTTGTCGCAAAAGTCGACTGTCGGGGTGTGCGGCACGGACGGCCGCGAAGACCAGTTTTGGTTCATGAGTCGAAGACAAGGAAGGTTGCGCATGATTGCGTTGTCGTTGTTGTTGTTGAGATGAAGGAAAACGTGTCTGTAAGTTTGGTGTGGTACAAAGTGGGAGTGAGTGTCTCGCGCGACGAAAGCCACCTCATGAGCGTCTTGGGCGGAAAAGTGGCGACACCATGAGAACCGAAAAAGTATGCACGGGAAATTTTTTCTATCTGCTGTTGGTGTTCTTTCCCACCTCGAAGCTGCCGTTGTCGTGTCGTGGTATTCTCCTCGGGGTATTGTATCATTTGTCACTTGTGTTTGTTTCCTCGTTAGGAGTATGATACGCATGACCTTCGTATGCATATAATATGGTCTTGTGTCCGCATGAGGAAGAGGAGCGATGTAGCTGGGTCATGATGTTGATGATGTGGGTGTAGAGCCGCTTCGGACTCCATCCGCTTTTTTGCGGCAAGTCCGAGCCAGACGCGCCACGATTAGACAAGTTCACGACACCGTATCCTCTCTAAGTTGACCTGAAAAAAATACCGGTCAGGTATGCAATAATACGTACGGCTACCGGAATTCGACGACGAAACTGTCTCGACAAGTCGGAGAGGATACAAAGTGACCCCGGTCGTGTGGAGAGTTTCAAGCGCAGATTCGGCCGCTCCTCGATATTTGCATGATACTGCTGTACGGTGCGGTATTGCCGAACGGGACGGGTTTCCAGTGTTGCAATACCATGCCAGAAATGAGTGAGCTTTCCCCGGGGGTGCCTCGCTGAAGTGCGGGTTTCGGCTGGGACGTGCTACGATGAGTCTTGTTTCTGCCCCATAAGTTAGCTGGACTGAAAAGGTCCGAGACGAGAGCTTTAACGTTAGGTGGCAAATGATGAAGGGACAAAAGATGGAAATTTTTACATAACGTACAACTTGTTCTTGTAGTCGTAGCGAACAGGTACCACCTACCCTAGAGTTCTGTTTGGGTGGAAAGAAACCCAAGGACTGATACGAGGTATGCATATGGAAGATGGGACCTGACGCCGAGACCTTCGCTGCTTTGTTCATGTTTTTTCAGAGGTTTGTGCTATTATTGTCGGTCGAAATCAGAGATGGAAAGGGAAGGACAATCGGTGCACGTGATTGCCTTTGCTCATGTCCTGAAAAATCGCTCCGCGAGAGTTTTTCTACACAGACAGGCGAAAAGGGCTTGGATGCGAGAAGGCGTGGTGTTGTAGGGGAGCCTTCTTCGTGGGCCCCAACTGTATCGTGGATTCAGAATAGGCAGCGGAGATAGAGGGGCTTGAAGGGACTCTGCGCACGGGCGGCCCTCGTAGTTGTTGAGTTGGGGTGATGCAGTACAACGCATGGCATGATGCCCTGCTTACCGCGCTCGTAGCGGAATGGGTGATCTGGGTTCGTAGCCTGTGTTCAAGTGATCGGCGTCTCTTCTGATGTGTACATCCTCAATTGTTCTTCTCCGCGGTCTGGGAAGTATTTGTCAGAATTCGTAGAAATAGCGTGCGTGTTGAGCGTGAACGTGCAAGAAGTTGTATGCCGCGTCATCGTGCGCATACGTTGAAAATAGTTTGACTTGCGGCGTGCCAGTGCCCTGTAGTTCACCAGTGGCACATAGCGGTCTTACAATTGTACCCACGACCAGAAAAACGGCTTATTGGCTCTCCCTTTGAACGTGAGCGTGTCGACGACGTCGATATGTGTGCAAGTTCCCGAGGGAAGTAGGCGAGGTGACTGTCTTGTATACAAGAACTAAACACACAAGGCACGTGTTGTATCGCTGTGTGAGCGCATCACGAAGAAGGGCAGCGGGTGCGCTAACAATTCGGCAGCATACGCAGCGAAAAGCAAGAACGTTGGCAATTTACAGCAAGAGGCGGAGAGGTGGCGCCGCCCGTTGACCGAATTTCAAAGCCCGATTGCCCTACAAACCGGGGGGTGCAGAAAAGCCCGATACGTCGGACGGGAATCCCTCGTCGAGATGTTTCCAAAACCACAGTTTTATTTTTGGCACAAGCTTGGTGGTGGTGCATTCGAGCTTTGGGCGGGGTGTCATCTCTCCGCCCTCTAAAGGTAGGCGGCATATTGAGCATCAGCCGAATTATCAACCATGATCGATCCTGTTGTGGCCGGCGCGGTACACCGACAAGGAAAAAAAAAAACACGACTCTCAGGTGGCCTGTCCTGTGATTATATAAATTCCGCCTTCATCACGCTGAGCTACAACGAGGCGCGGACAAGCACACAACACTCACGACCGTCTACGCGTGCTGTCCCCCTCTTCGCAACAAATTGTTCCGGTTCTTGATGACCCCTCCACCAACTACCTCCGAGGAGAAGTACGGGTGCGAGCACCAGTTCGGGTCGTAGAGCATCACCATCGGTAGCTGCAACGGCCCCATCACCAACACGTTTACATCTCTCAACACCTCCGGTGGCTCGGGCGTCAACACGTACAGCACTCGCTTCTCGACGTCGACAGACCGCACGATTCCAAGACCTACGCACGGTGCCAACGGTGTCTCGGCTAAGCATACCAAGCCCTCTCCCGGCGGCCGCTCGGCACCGCCACCAACACTGCCGCTTCTCCCCCCTTCCCAAGGCTGCCTAGCCATTGCCACAAGTCCGACAAGCGCGCCGTTGATAGCGTGCAGAACAAGGCTCGGCGAAACTGAGCCGTTCATGATCCTGATCTGGACCGCCCGAAACGGCACCCGCCGAGGCCTCGCGGACGCCAGCAGAACCGCCACCTCGTGGTCCAGGTCGTACATCTTCCCTCCCCGCATGCTCGCGTGTCTCAACCGCCCGCTGTCGCCGCCCGTAACCTTTTCCCCGTCAACTAAGCCTTCTGCGAGCCCACTAGCGACAGAGCTATCCTCGGTTCCGGTAACCGCAGAACCCGCTCCCCGTTGCCTTCCCGCAACGGCTGCCGCCGTGGCGACTGCCTCTGCCCCCCCCGAAAGACAACCCGGTGACACCCCGCCTGGGAAAACATCACCGCAACCGCGGGTCCCCTGCCCCTGCCCGAGAAAGTACGCGACCAGGCGGAGGGTTCGCTGGTCTTGAGGCGAGGGACGAGACGGGTTCGGCGTTCCTCCCGAGGGGACCGGGGGCGGCGACCAGACCCCGACGCGGTGGACCTCGCACTCCTCGGGCAGGCGGGCGAGGTCGAGCTCGAACGACTTGGCGGTAGACGTGCCCAGGATCTGGACGATGTGTCGGGGGCGAACCGCGTCGATCACCGCGCCGAGGAGGTCTTCCCCCATGCCCTTCACCCAGCCGTCCGTGTTGACAACGAGGGGGGTGGGCGGGGGGGCACCGCCCGCGAAAAAGGATGCCGGTCGTTCCGCATGCTGCTGCTGCTGCTCGGCTCCGCCCACAACCCCTTCGCTGGCGCGCTCAGCAAGGGCGCGCACCGCCGCCGAGTAGAGTAGCGGCTCCGGTTTGGAGGTGGTCGTGCCAATGAAGTACGCCAGGTGCGGATGCCGGAGGTTGGCGTGCGGCGGGCCCACCACCGGGGTGTTGAGCAGGTGGAGGGATACTTGTCCCGGAGGCGTGAATTCAGGCTGTCCTAGGTCGCAGTCCATGTAGGCAACTTCCCGGTGCCGGCCGAGCATTCTGTTCGCGAGGAAGCGACACAGGGTGCTCTTCCCTACGCCCTTGGCCCCGCAGACAAGCACCGAGTCGTTGCTGCCGCCGCCGGCTGGACGGGGTGGCGACGCAAGCACGGCGTCGATGGCGTTCGCCCAGTCTTGAGGTAAGGTAAGCGGGCGCAGCCCGGCTACTTCGGTCGTTACCACCTGCATTCCCGGGAGACGGAGCTCGGCCGCGAAGCTACCATCGAGGACGTCGCCGGTGCACCCTGACGCCACGGGAGGTGGGCTGCAGGTGGTCGCCGTTTCCGTGTCATCTTGATGCCCCCCCCCCAACTCGCCCCCCTCCGCCGTTTGCAAACCCCGGCGACGGTTACTTTGAGGTGGTTGACTTTCGGCGACAGGGTCAGAGCTGTCGTCGGCGCCAATACTCGGCGCATAAAGAGCGTCGGCGTCGGCCTGCGCCGACAAAAACTTCAACGGGCTGCGACCGGACAGCGACTTGAACACCACCACCACGGGGAAATGTTCGGCGATCCTATCGATCGCCTCCTCGATCTCGTTCTCCATCTTGTCGTCGTTAGCAGCACCCGCGTCATCTGTAGCAATGCTGCCACGGGCTATTGCTACGTCCGGGCGATCTTCCGCGTCCAATGCACGCAGCACCAGCAAGCCCATCCAGCGCGGCGAGTGCGCCTCGACGTACGGCCCCCACGCTTCAGGTAGCAGGGTGAATCCCGACAGGTCGGCCTGGCCACGGCCGCACCGCACAAGCGCTGCGCCGACGAAGCACAGCTTCTCGAGGGAGTGCAGGCCCACTACTAACGCGCCAGGTGCGTCGTCGGCAGCTGCAGACACTCCGCCGGCCACGCGGTGTACCTTACCCTTGCGGGGTTCGAACAAGGTGCAAGGCAGCGGCGGGTTCGCGCGTGGCCCGTAGTATCCGTCCGCACACACAGCAGCACCATCGTCTTCGTCCCAGTCGGTTTGCGCTTCTCCATTGACCGCACACACCTGACCCCGCCTTCCGGCTTGCCCCCTGCCCCCCGCTGTTGTTTTTCTGTCGGCACGCCGTCCTGACTTCCCGCCTCGCTGCCCGCCGCCGCTAGCCAACTTTCGTCGTCGATCGGGATGCTGTTTCCACCGGTTGTTGGGGTCTGATGTCGTCGCCGGTGACGGACTCGACCCGGTCCCGTCCGCTTCATCACTGCTGCTACTGCTTTTTCTACTTTCCTCTTGGTCCTCCTCTTCTTCTCCCTCCTCTTCCTCCTCTTCCTCGTCTTGCTGCTCGTCGTAGTGACTGGACTGCTGCTGCTGTGGCAAGGCCCACGGTATCCCAGGCATCCCTGGACTAACCTCGTCCTCTTCTTCCGTTATTCCATCGGTGACGCCGTCGCCTTTGCCGGCCGCAGGCTTAAGAGCAGGCGCGTCTTGCTCCGATGTCGGCGAGGTGGTGGTGGTGGGATTCCTGCTGGTTGGGTTGGCTGACGCCGCCGCCGCCGCCGCCGCTGCCGCTGCCGCCTTTTCTTGGGCTGCTGAGGGTGTGGTGCAACTTCGTGCTGATGTTGGTGTCGGTGGTCCACTCCCTTCTTCGCCAGCTGGAGGAGACGTTCTTGCCCGTTTACGCTTGCGACCCATTGCTTCCGTGGGCAGTAGCAGCAGTGGCAGAGGAGAGAGAGAAGGGCGAGAGCAGCCTGATCGCGAGGTGTGGAGGTGCAGCAAGGGTGGTGTTGGCAGCGCCGATGCGGCGCAATAAAGCACATCGAACCCCCCCACAAAAAGTGCAGTCGCGTGGCCCCCACAGTGGAGTTGAGCGGAGCGCTTGGCATCAGGCGACACAAGCATTGAGAGATTGAGAGCATCACGGCATGACCAGCCAGACGAGGGAGATACACACCGACAACCTGCAGCGACTACGATACGCACATACCCCGACCTGGAGCACGCAGAAAACATGGCGATGCGAGGCTTGGGAAAGAAAACTCCTGCACAACCTACAGCAGTGACGGTGATGAGATGGTAATTCATGAGGTTAGGCAGGAATATGGCGGAGATCCGTTGCTGTATGTAGCGTACGCAACGTTGTTGGTACCGCACACCCTCCTAGTCTCTTCGAGGGGAAAGGGAAGACAGAAGAGCGTATTGTGCTATCGAAAGACGTTTAGTCTATCTGCATGTGCTGCAAACGAACGATGTTCACTGTGCTTCCATCCTACGTGCTACATATGAAAAATTGCAAATGCCGTTGTATTGTACCTTTACTCGATGTACCTTTTGATACACCACAGGAAGGGCCCGTCACAGGCCTCCTCGTCTGGGACTGCTGTACGTACCAACACTGCTGCGGTATGTAAGGGCATTCCCAATGACACATTATGCAGTATCGCCAGCGCCGGAGGGGGGGGGCATTTTGTTAGGACCTGGAAGGCTGCCAAAAAAATAATTCGTTTGCATCCGTCGTGACGGACGGCTTCCACAGATACGGGGCGTTGGTGGGCTATCGCTCCAACATCGAAGGACAGAACAACAAGCTGTTGAACTGCTGGGCAAGCAGCGCGTGTTGTAAAACATTTCAGCAGCAGATACAACAATAGGGCCGGGCGATGAGGAGAATGTTCCTGCCTCTGTCCAACCAGAGTATTTGCCTACCCCTGTATTTACGACAAATGCCATGCTGCGAAAGACGTTGACTGCATTGGCACACATCCCACATACGCAGCGGGTCAAAGAGCGCCGCAGCAACCGCCGTCCCGCCCGCCCCCCAACGAAACAGGTGCCCCTTCGAACCACGTCGCTGGTCTCGGACGCGGTGCCGTGGGTTTCACCAAGTGGTCCGACATCGGTCCCGCCCGCACCACTCTCGCCGAGCTCGGGGCCGCCGCCCGCCTGGCGCGACCTGTGCGTCGTGCGGCGTTTCTAAAGACCCAGACTTCGGACCCGTGCCAGTGGGTACGTGGCCGGCCGTGGGCATGTGATGGGCGACCTCGCCAAGTCTAACAGCGAGGATGGGGCGGGGCGGGGCGGCCGGGGGGGCGGGGCAGCGTCGAGGGCGGCGGTAGACTTGTCGGAGAGTAACTATGATGAGTTCTCGGGGTATTCGGACAGGCTGTTCCGGGAAACCCCGTGACGACGAAGAGGCGGACGCGATCTACGAGGTGCGGCTGATTCATGAGGTTGTTGTTGGACATAAAAGGGGTGTGATGTTGTTGACGATGCTTTTTCCTTTGAAACGATGGGGGCCCCTGTTCGTGCGCCTTCCGTGAGAGGATGCTTTCGATGCCAAGGTAAGGGGGGTGCGTTGTGTGTTGTTGTTGTTGTTCAAGGCTGCAAGGTGGCCTGAGTTGAGCCATAGTCAAGCTGCTGTCATCGGAGTAACGGGAAATGCTTTCGTTGCACCCGTTTTTTTTTTTCCAAAGTGCTACACACGCGTCGCCGCCCTGATAGTAGTAGTAGGAATACAAGCACACTCGCTCTCTCGAGCAAGCGACGATAAACAACAGCGACGACCGCCATTGAGAAATGTACCGTAGGTGACACAAGATGTCACACCACCTGGATCGATTCGCAGAGCTCGGTTTCTCCACAGCTGAAGTAGTGGCGGTGCCACAGATGGCGGCGTTGGAGCCGTCTCGTCAAGAGCTTTCCGAATGCTCTTCGTCGTAGACTATTGGAGATTTGAACACTGGTCCAGGGGGTGTGGTATCTTGTGTCACCTACTACACGCTTTCGCAACGCTCAGTTGTCGGTATGTTAAAGAGTATCTACGTTTCACCGCAGCAGGAGCCACCGCAACACCCCAACAATTTCTTGTATCACAGTTTAAGGAATCCGCAGAGCGAGGGTATGCGGTTGGAGGCGGTGCGTCTTGAGAGGCGATCAGGGAACAGCAAGGGTGTGGATAGCCTCATGACCAAGGCCCTGCAGGAGTGTCCCGGGTCCGGCGTGCTTTGGGCGGAGGAGGCCCTGGCGGCACAACGGTCCGAGCAGAAGTGAGAGAGACAGACCGCGATGTAATTTTGAGCAAGAGTAGCAGTGGCATAGCGTGTGACGCGTGTTGTGTGGTGGGCACTGCGATATGGAGCTACTTGTTTAAGAAGTGTTATCGGGGGAAATGATGGCGGGAAGAAATATGGGTGGTACAAGTACAGCAGGCCGAGCCTGAGCAAGCAGTTTTATGGTGTTGTTGTTGTTACCGTCGTTGCCGTACGTATCGCATGCGCATCGCCATGAAATCAGGAGCCTTCTCTGCCCATCACCTGATGTTTCTTCATCATTTGCTTTCGTTGTGAAATCATCTTGACGGGCGTATATGACAGACACGCCTCAAAGAAAGCACCATGCGCGCCCGGAAGTGTTGTGAATACCACATAAATACCAACAACCCAGGCATCCTACCGGACTGTCTCCCGAGGTTGGCAATGCACATCATGGACTGCTTTTGCTGCACCCGTCCCCTTCGCACACGAACTAAACGAAAAACGCCAACAACACCAAGCAGGAAAATCCCTTGAGGCGCTCAAGAGGCGCGACAACGACCCGAACGTCATGAGCGCCGTGGCCAGGCACTTGTGGGCGGACCGAAAATATGCCAAGACCCGCAGGTGGTTCAACCGCGCCATCACGTCTGGACCCTTACATGGGCGACGCGTGGGCGGTGCACTACGCCTTCGAGCTGCAGCAGGGGACCGACGTTGAGCGAACGGACGTTCTCGGCAGGTTCGTCCACTACACAGCTTAGTTTTTTGTTTTGTTTTTCTCCCCTTCGTCGAATCGACACGCACGACGTGTTGTTTTCGTTGTGTGGGGTAAGGTCTGGTCAATAGGCTGGGAGGTATTTGCATTGTTATTCTTGTTGTCCTGCTACATATTGCTGTCGGTTCCAAGAAGCCTGTTCTCGGTTGCACTTTGGTTTCATTTGGGCGAGGGTGCAGTGATTCGGCAAAGAATGTCCACCCTCTTCACTCCTTTGAAGATATTGCGCTTGAAGATATTGCCCATCAACATTCATAATCGGAGACTGTGATGCCGGTGAAGCCAGATTGATGCACTCAGCGGTATGGCCTACGACACTTCTAGATACGATTCGAAAACTAGCCACTACTGCTATACACCCTGCACCGTATCCGTGGCCATCTTTTGAATAACTAGATCCCGGAAGCACACCAACATCTGATGATCCCTAAGGTGTACAAGTGTTTTTGTGGTACAGCAGTATGGTGATGATATATCATGTGAGGGTGGTGATACGTGACCTAACTTTGGACGCCGAAACCGCGACAGGTGTGTGGCGGCCGATCCTTCCCACGGGGAGCTGTGGAAGTCAATATCCAAGACAAACACCACCGAAAAACAGCGGTTCGACAAGGCCAGCATCCTCAGGAAGGTCGTAGCCGCCTACTTTTCCGGCAACGGTGTAGTGGTCGTCATTCCACGAGGCCCAACAAGCACTGGCTAGATCAAAGCGAAACGATGATTGATGTGGATTGACACGAGAGGAGAGCAAGGCAAAAACGTTGCCTTTCGTGCTATCGGGAAACCCTCGAGAGAACGACACACGGTTTTGATCGAAGGTCTCCTGATCGTGTAGAGACAGACCGGCCGCCTTCTTCGGCAAAACTGCGTATGCTGCCGTGTAGACACGGGTGTTTGTGAAGGTCGTCGAAAGAGCACTCAACCAATCAATCTTCCCGGGAAGGGGTGAGACGTCCAAGCCGCTTCTTCTCTGTTTTTCACTCTTTTCGCGTTAAAAATAGAAGGCAAGCACGGCACCCCGGTAGACTATTTAGTTGGTATCCTCGGAAATCTTCTAGTGGCCAGGGTGGTTCGAATTCGGCGTAAGCGAGCTTGCAGTGTGAGTTTTCTCTCGCTTCCGTTCCTGGCCTGGGTGGACAGCACTCTTCTCGCATTGAAAATCGAAGGCGAAGTACCGCAGGAGGGATGTGTAGGTGCCTCAGTGAGAGGAACCCTTCTGCGTGACCACGAGTTGTGGAGTAAACGGCGCACGTGCTGTGAGCGCTGATTTGAAGTGAACACACACACAAAAAAGGCACCGCAGGAGAGGTGGATAGGGGAGTGACCACGGATGCCTCTACCCAAGGGTATGCACGAAAAAAAAATCAAGACACGTATGCCTACTAATCGAAAATCGGGTCCGGGGGGGGGGGGGGCGGGGATATATACCCATGTAAATCCCCGGGTTTTTTCGCTGAGGCGTCGGCGCTTTGGCGTCCAGCTATCTAGCCCAAACCCTAACCATAACCCATAAGCTCTCTCTCGCAGAGAACGTAGCGAGACACCAGGCAAGAACTCGCAAGCAGGGGTCCGCATGAGTAAGCGGGGTAGATTGATCAAGTCAAACGTAACCCTACAAGACTAATAAGGCTGCAAGTAGATTTGCTACACAATTTTCCTGTTGTGCAGTGCTAGAAGCGACAAAGGGCAAGTAGTTTGCAAGGCAGGTGGTTGTGTTGGATGGTGGGTAGCTATGAGCTGCTTCGCTCATGTCGAGCTTAGGTCGATGTACTGTACGTTTTTCGTAGATATGGGGCGTTACCGTACGTGCGTTCCTGTAGCACGGCTAGGTGAGCGTTGGCCGGCTTCTGACGAGCAGATGCGGGAGGGGTGACGAGAGCGAGGCATGTTTGCCTTCCATCTAACCTCCTTGTAGTAAGTTTTCGACGATTCGAGTGGCAAATTTTCGAATTTCTGCTCCCTCCGGGGGAGGGGGGTGGGGCCTGTGTGTCCGGGTTTTTTTTCGCGAAGACCCTTGTCCTACCCGATAGAAATGCTGTCTGTGTAAATTAAAGCGATAAAAAAACAATATATCGACCCGCAGGTAGTGGTCGGCATGAGCCTACCGGAGTTTGTGTAACAGCGATTGTGCGCAGCTGACAACCTTTGATAGTTTTCACTCTTGTTTGCCACACGAGCGCTACTGCTGTATGCAAATTTGCAGTACAGACTCGTCGGGAGGATGTTAACCCTGAACATCACGCAACACGATGTTTCGCAACTTGTTATGCGGTGCACAGCATGCATTTCAGCTGTGGCAGCACACGGTACCCTCATACATGGTTCATCTGGCGAATGCATGGCAGCAAGCGGGGAAAAGGCGCCCGCATCAAGCAGCACCGTGAGGGCCATCGTACCAACACACGCACCGTCGTGCGAGGACGCGATACGATTGGACGAAAACAAGAAACGCAAGGAGATAGTTCGCGACGATATTTTCTTCTAGACAGCAGTGAAGTCTCGCGACGACACCAACGCAAGCAAAAAACCACCGTGCGAAACTCGGTGTGAAACGTCCGCAGATCGCCTCCCCTTACAACTCAGATAAGGACACGCCTCCGAACACGGCCGGAAAACGCAACCAAGAGATGCCCGCGAGCAGACACATCAACATCGGCGGCATTTCGGACACAACACAATCAGCCTCTCTCGACACCGTGATTGATCATTTCATCAACCCACTGCGTCCTGAAGGGGGACAGCAGACGAAACAAAAGCACACGGCTCAACCAAGTCGCCCAACTACGCTATGCCGGCCAAACCACACGTTGAAACATGTCAACAAGCCCAGGCTCCCCCGCGCACGCACGCACACAACAGACGCGGTGGGGAAGGAAAACAAAGCGAACGCCTCCTCCATTTCCTAAGAACGACGACAGCATTAGCCCATCTCCTCTCCACCACCGCATGTGCTCCTACACGTGTGGCGCTTAACGCGCGCGCTGGCGCATCTTGCGGCGCTTGCGCCTGAGGCGGCGCATGCGCTTCTTGCGCCACTTAGCGCGCATGCCGCCCCTGACGTCCAGGAGAAGGGTCAGGGTGTCGGCCTCCTCGATGCCGGCGTCAGCCAGGCAGCCCGAGCTGAGCTGGGCGTTGCCGTGGTTGAGGCGCATGAGGGCGGCGGGGAGGAACTCCTGCGCCTCCACCGCGGCCTTGACGGCCGTGATGGAGGTGGCGGGGGACACCTCCAGGGGGAGGCTGGCCCCGCCGAGGGTCTTGACGAAGATCTGCATATTTGCTTCCCGGATGCTCAAAAAGCCTGGGGATGAAATACACGCGACAGGCAAGGGGTGAGATGAGAGGGTCGGGGGTGCGTTGAGTCCTGGGGCGGAAACAGGAAGGGCTGTACTCAAAAGCGATCAACATATTGCGGATACAATATTACGTTTCTTTCGATGCGACAGCAAACGAGAGCGAAGGGAGGCCTCGGTCCTAGTTGTGTGTGATTCATCCACAGGTTCGGACGGGCAGCACTACTAAGGTAGTGCTTTGACAGAACCTGAGGCAAGGGGGAATTTTGGACAAGAACAACCCACTTTGGTGGACATCAAGGGCGGGCCACTAATGGCACTTGGGAGCGCTTTGTGAGCCCCAATCCGGTCGACACATTACACAAACTCGCAGTATGTACTACTGCGGTTCTCTGGGTAAACAAAACTGCGACAGGTCTTCAAAGTTGCATTCAAGCGAGCTGGCGCCATTCTTCTCAGGTTCGGGTCATGCTCGATCTCCCTACCATACTGCTGCACGATTTTCCAAGGCACCGTGAGGCTACGAAAGCAACATGCCTCTTCATTGTGCGGCCGTGTTGTGGCTGGCAAATTCAAATCTAGCTCTTGGGGAGGGGGGGGGGGTGGTATACATCGTCATGATTGTGTTTCTGACATTTCGGGTGGATCTAGCGAGGGCCCTCTTCGTTTCCCCTATAGAGAGAAAGCGAAAAACGGAGAGCGTGTTACCATCGCACCAAGGTAAACCTCTTCGCACTGGTGTACTTCTATCATTCAAATCAAGAGTAACCTCTTGGCTGGGGGAAGGCTCATGGACTGCAAGTTGGGGAGACGACGTGAAACCTGCTTCGTGTGGATGTCTGGTGGTTGAGTTTTCGGTGGCTGCTGTGCCTGGACTATTGGTGTAGGTTGCCCCTCCGAACACGAACGCCAACACTGACACCACCACACCCCAGACAAACAAAACACAGGCAAGAAGAAGCAAATGGACATCCACCCCAACTAGATATTGCAGTAGATCGTATATGCATGCAGCTAGATGCCTCAGCAGCTGACGCCAGCCGCAATCGAGCAGGAGATATTTTTGTGGTGTGTGTCAGGCAGAGGGATGGAGCAACAAAAATCGAGAGTCCGGAACAGCAAGAAATACATAGATACATCTACAAATGACTGCCTCTGCAGGCGGCAACACCGGCCGCGCCACGCACGCCCTCGTGAGGAGGGTCGCGGGCTAGAACTCACCCTTGCAGAGCTTGAGCAGTCAGCGAGAATGAGGAGCACAGCGCCAGCAGGAGCACCGCCGCGGCTCCGTAGAATCATACAATGGTCCTACCGGGTACGTGTGGGGCCACGCCGATCAGGTCGTTTCCCTCGAAAAGTGCCCGCACACACAGAGGAGCAGCAACAGCGCCTGTTGCAGCAGTGCACGATGGGGAGATACACTGGGGTGGCGTTGTCTGCACTGCTGTCAACAACAGCAACCTTTGCTTGGTCACCCGCTGGATCACTTTGGAGTGGTCGGGGATCTCGTGCTGGTGCTGCGGATGCTGCTACCGCTGGCGGCGAGAGAAAGTCGCGCTGGACATGTCGTGGTCGCATGTCACGATCTCGTCAGGGCACATCTCTGCCAGCTCAGGTACGAAGAAGCGAGTGCATCGCGTTGGTAAAGCTTGTCTTCTTTGGAGTATCTTGCAGCTGTCGCACATGTTCCCGAGAACGCCAGCAGCCTCTTTCTAGAGCAGCCACAAGTACAGGCGTCCTCCAGGAGCATACAATAGTTCACCCAGCGAAAAAATAGTCAACCTGCGCCACCGGATACGGAGGAGGCTGATGCAGCAGCAGCGAAGCAGCGCGCACCGCTACGCTAGAAAGTAAACCACCTTCCTCTGCAGTTAGGTCGCCTGTGATATATCATGGCGACGGGAACGTCGCTAGTGATGCTTCTGCTGCTGCCAGCGTTGCCTTGTTGGTGAAAGGCTGCTGGTATCGTATATGACATGACGCGACGTTTGAATTGTGAGCGTGGCGGGCCAAGTGCGTGGAGGGAAGAGCCAGCGCGCTTGGTCCATACCTACTTCTCTGTGTGCGTTGGTCGTTCTTTGTTGCTTATTCCTCGCAGCACTTGTCCGTCATTTCTCTTGTTTGGGCTGTGTTGTCCTTTCAATACACACCTACCTCACCGGACACAGCAACCCACCACGCGAACAGAAACACAATGCAGTATGTATACTGCTGTTGTAACGACGTATCGCTGTAGACCTGTACAGCAGTTGTCAATTCGATTGGGGCGCTATGTCGTGTTGTAGAAACTTCCAAAACCTAATCAGTCCGCTGTGGTCATGTCGGGTAACGTTGTATGCTTCGGGTGTAGTCTTTTTGTGGTGGTCGTACGCATAATTTCTGGAAGATGCGCACAAAAACACGTTGTGCCAGATACCAGACACACGAATACCCTACTCTACTGCTGCTGTGTACTTCTAACTGGCGCTGCCAAGTACCTGCTGCTGCTGCTGCCTTAACCGTGAGTACAACTACAACACACCTACACAGACGTCTTAGCCGTCGGTCGACGACCATCATCCAAGACTAACAGGACTTCCGTCAGAAAAAAAAACCACTGGGACAGGTTTAACTTGGCGTTCGAGAATCAGATGTCTCCGCTTAACTTGACGCCTACCTTGACGTCTTGTCTATTTTCGAGTAATTTTGGCAATTACGCCGCTTGCTTTCTGGGCACCGCAGTCGAACCAACCAGTTCACAGACCAACACACACCATCAGCCGGGAGCCTGGGAGCCGGAATTCCAAGCGCTTGAAAAACTCCTACAACTGATACGTTTACCAATCACTTGCGTATGCGTGTGCATACATATCTCAACGATGGCATCAGCAGTTCCTTGGGCCAAGCCAAACATTCTCTCGATGGACATGATATTTTGTGCATGTTTTGCTTGTTGAAGAAAAGAGCGCAGTTTTCAAGAACATTGGCTAAAAAAACAGACAGCAAGTAGCGAGTACTGAGTAGCCAAAAGACAGTGCGATGTGCGAATTGCTCCTTTTCTAATTTGCATACCACAATGTAAAAAAGCAGAATTTAATAGCACATGGCATGTAGCGGAGAGACCTGCAACAGGTGTTGAGAAAAGAATATGGCATCTACCTTTGAGATACAGGTGTTTTTTGTTTCTGTTGGCTTCGCTAATCTCTCAGTGTGCATGTGGGCTTAAACAGACTACTACATGTAACATCCAGAGTCAACAGATTTCCTTCAACACTCACAACTGCTGTCGAGACTAGACTCAACACATGCGTTATTTCTTTGGTGACTGGATGCATTTTTTTGCGAAACTACAACTGTGTCGGCGACTTTGGGGCCAGCTTGCGGCCGTATTGGAAAAAAACCTTGACGCATTCACAGAATGCAGACGGTTACGTAGGCCGACTCTTTTTGGCCAGCAACGAGAATTAGCCCGACGTTGTTTTTCACGATTGGCATCAGGTTATCGTTAGTACTTCAGTAGCATACCCTCCCAATGAACCCCACTATTTTCTCCGCCTTTGCATGCACCACCCTTTCACACACAGGACAGTTCATGAGCTAGCTTACCTATGTCCTACACATCACCATGGAGCGACACTCAGATCACCTGTGCCTCGCAGATCACCAGGAGCAAACATGTTCCGATCACCTGTGCCTTACAGATCACCAGGGAGCAACATGCTCAGATCACCTATGTCCTTCCGATCACAAAAGACATACCGTATGAAAGATGCAAGAATCTGATCTGTCCTATGTGTGCACCCTTTCCTACCATCCCATCCATCTCCTGGGCATTTTCCTGGCCGGACCGGGTGCGATGAAACAACAGGCAAGCAACAACGGCGCGAACGGCGGCCTGAACGGCGGCGGTGCTGCTGCTGTGGAAGGCCTGGCAGAGAGCGTCTCTGCCGCTGTTCCATCCCCCGCAGGTGACGACGTCTGCTTCGAAGGGGGCTGCCCGGCTGAAGGTGAGTAGCAACCAGCAAACAGGTACAAAAGTAATTTCGTAACAATATAGATACACACGTGATTCACGTTATTCAGGAAGGCGTCAGGGGTGCACGTCTCCTCTGCCCCCTCCTCCCATATTCTCTCAGCGGCCGACCTTTCCTGGGCGATGCACTCGCGCATGGCAAAGAAGACGTAACAACGTTAGGGCTATTTGCGGAGAGATTGTATCGCGGCGTAACCCTGGGAGCCCCCAACCCCCACCGCTTTAACGCCGTGTTCAATCGGACATTCCTGCACCTCGTGTTTCTACTTCGCAGTTGAGCCACCGCACGGTGCCAACCCGGAAGAGCTGGAGATCCCGGCTTTGAGGGAGATGAAGTCTTCCAGCGCGGGCCCTACGGTGTGGAGCGAGTTCAGCAGCTTGGCAGCCGAGACAGGAGCTCCCGTGAATCTAGGCCAGGTTGGTTGCATGTTCCCCCACTTGAATTTTATAATGGTGATCATTTTCCTTCACTCTTTGCTCCTCATTGGTATATCGCGTGCCCGATGTTGGAAATTGCTGATTGACCTTGTATGAATTAATACGAGAGCATCGAATCGAGAACGTGCGTTTCGTTTTAACCATCCTGGGTCTGGTTATCCATCTCCTCTGACCCACCCGTCACAGCTGGGCCTTGACTGGAATCTCCACATGTAACGCTCGCTCCTCGAGGGGGGGAGGGGGTTGCGACGAGTGTTTAGGCTGCTAAAGGCAGATTTTGTCCGAACAGCAGAGGTTGCGCACCACTACCGCTGTTGAGATAAAGGGAGTCGGTCGCCAGCCCCTCTTTCTGGCCTTATGCATGATGCCCCATCTCGTTTTCACACCTCGACGCCCTTGTCTTGTCCCTTGCCCTGTGTGTCTGCGAAACACGACTTCTAGGGGTTTCCAAACTGGAACCCTCCAGATTTTGTGGTGGCCGCTGCACAGAAGGCCCTTTCAGAGGGGTTTCACCAGTACACTCGAACGGCAGGACACCCGCGACTGGTCCAGCTGCTTGCCAAGCGGTATAGCAAGCATTTCGGCAGGGAGGTTGATCCCTTCTCGCAGGTAAGAGCATATGGTACATTACATAGATACGTATGAGAGGGGCGGGTGACTGCTGGTGGCACGTCAGAAAACGGACAGGATTCGATCCAAGGCTGCTCTTGTTTTCGTGTCGCTGTGTCGGGAGTAGTTGATCTAAAGCTGTCGCCAGGTAGGCTATGTGGAGGCAAGCGCCATCCTTTTACGCGACCAGAAAGACCCCTTGCCACGGTAAGGAATGTTCCTCTTACTCCCTCCCCCCGCTCGACGTACTTCCCGGTCTGTGTAAGGATGCGAGTCTTGTCCATCTCCGGACCTCGGCCTCGAATTATATTGACTACCCCTCCTTCCCCCTCTTCCTCCGCCGTCCCCCCCAATCATCTCTTCTTGCAAGGTGGCCATCACCATCGGGGCGTCGCAAGCGTTGTACGTCAGTTTCCAGGCGATCCTTTCCCCCGGGGACGAGGTGGTATTGCTAGAGCCCTTCTTCGATCTCTACCTGGGACAGATTCGGATGGCTGGGGGGGTGGCGAAGCAGGTGCCCCTGAGCGTGGTGGACGGGGAGTGGAGGCTGGACGCGGAAGCCCTGCGAAGGTGGCAACCCGCAGCCTTGAATAAATCTTTCGTATCTGAGTGTGTGCGGTCTGGAGGCGACATGATCGGGGTGGTGTGGACCAGGTCACCGAAGGATTTCTGGCTTTGATCGCGTGTGTTCGCATATCAGAAGGGTGGTTGGATTGGAAAGAAGGCGAGGGAGAGGGAGAAAGAGATACTATGGCGAAACGGGCAGCCGGTGCGGTTTCGTATCAGATAGAGAGAGAGAGGAGGGTCCAACCATGCGTACGTATGCCTTCCATTCTGCCGCCGTGCTATCCGCTTTCAACGGCTGCCACTCTTGCGTGATCTCTCATCATGTGTGGTGCATGGCCAATATCCGGTTCCTACCAGTATTTTTAGCTGTGGGGAAATGAAAGCAAGCCAAGAGGGGAGTGTGACTCAGGACACAATTGGCAGAAAATGCAGACATGCAAGACAGCCAGATTGTTGGCCTTGGTTTGCGGTTAGGCAAGGGTTGGGTGTAACCCGAACCGCTCTCGTACTGCACGATTTTATGTTTTTGGCGTACTTGACACCCGTCGATACACCGGAGGAGTCTCGCCACACTTGGGTTTTTCGTGCTCTGTTGTATTTAGCCTATAACCTCTCCTTTGCTCATTGTTATCTCCTGCTCTGTGCCTCTTGCCTTTTTTTGGGGGAATCAGGGCGATTTCTCCCAGAACACGAGCTATCGTGGTCAACACTCCCCACAACCCCACGGGCAAGGTGTTTTCCCGGCAGGAGCTAGAGGCCATCGCCGACGTTGTGCGGGAAAATCCCAGGGTGAGTGGGAAACGAGAGAGTGGGCGAGAGAGACGGAGACAGGGATACGAGATGGATGTTAGAGGGAGAGAGAGAGACATGCGGAGAGATGAGGGCGGAGGGTTAGATATGTTTACTGTAGAGAGAGGGCATCGGAACAACCAGGTGCATCCACGTCACCGTACAGCGCACGCGTTGGATCTGATTCTCCACGACAAAAGTATTCCGTCTACATGTATTTTCCACTATGGCGTGGGACACAACCAATTGTTCGGCTGTCTGGTAGCCCTGTACCACTTTATGCCCTCAGGTTGTCGCAGAGAGAGAAAAAGAGAGAGAGAGACCTACAAGGACGAAAACAAGCGGAGGTTGCTGTGCTCATCACGCACGGGACCAGGAGGTGGAGAGACAATATCGCTCTTGCTTGTCAACACATCCCCTCTCCTACACAACGCCACCGCTCACAGTAGCATGCAACACCCCACCGGCTCCTCTCTCTATGTCCCCCTCTCAGCTACTCGTTATCAGCGACGAAGTTTACAAGTACATGGTGTATGAGGGGCTTGGTTCCGGAGGGGAAGATGGAACCGCCACCACTACTAGCATCGACCCAGCGGACGCAGCAGCAGCGCTACAGGCGTCCAAATCAACGACCGGAGACAACGTGGGCAGCAGCAGCAGCAGCAACGGTAGTAGTCCTAGAGGCGTTGTTCCGCCGGAGAGCGAGGGCAGGAGTAGCGCTGCCCGTGAGGCCCCTCCGGCAGAGGTCGCTAAGAAGGTGGATGATGTCGGGGTTGTGGAGCCCCTTCCGGCGTTGCGGCACGTCCACTTCGCCACGCTTCCCGGCATGTGGGACAGGACGATCACCATCTCCAGTGCGGGGAAGACTTTCTCGGTGACCGGTTGGCAGGTACGGTCATGTTCGGCTTGGGGTCGTTGGGGGTGCGTTGGTCGGGTAGTTTCTCCTACCTGCTTGGTCTTGGGGCATGGCAGAGAGAGAGAGAGAGAGAGAGAGAGAGAGAGAGAGAGAGAGAGAGAGAGAGAGAGAGAGAGAGAGAACATGTTTCTGTTCATGGTGCTTATTTTTTCAAGGCTAGCATCGCGAGGAGAAGAGGCAATCCTCGATTGATATATCTTGGTCGTCAGCACATCCCAAAAGTGTATAGACAACTGGATGAGAGCCATCCAATCAACAGCCCGCTGCGCTCTTCACCGTTCTGTTGTACCCCTGTGACCTTGCTGCCTCTAAGCACGTTGCACGCCGTTCTGTTCCCTTGGTCTATTGCTCGAAAACGGCCTGTCGTGCCCTGATTAACTCCGGCACGAATTCCGACCATTTCTTTTTCCCTTGTGACCATTTCGGTTCCCATCAGGTGGGGTGGGTCCTGGGCCCCCAGCGCGTGATCCAAGAGATACACACCATCCTGCCGTACATGCAGTTCTGCGCCGCGACACCCATGCAGGAGGCCATGTGCACCGTGCTAGTGGACGCTGAGAAGCCGTACGAGGGCAGCCCCAGCTACTACGATTGGCTTAGGGAGCAATATTCGGGCAAGAGACATCGGCTGGAGGGTGCCCTCGCCGCGGCGGGCATCCAGTCCCTCAAGGGGGAAGGAGGCTTTTTCCTCATCGGGGATGTCACCAAAATCAAGGTAAACTTGCTTTTGGTGCTTTTGGGGAAAGGGCTGGGCGAACGGGGCATACGTGTTTTGTTGAAAGCGCGATGTGATATTAATATAGCGTGCTGCGGTCGATTCATGTTGTCACAGCCATCGTTCAAACGTTTAGACCGTGAAGGAGGGGTTTCGTGCTGTGGGCGTTTCGGCGACCAAGGGCGGGGTTCACGTGAAAGCTTTCTGTGTCCACGTGGACAACAGAGCTAACGGGGTGTATTCCCGATGCCTGCTTGCCGTTGCCAGACGAGGGCCAGACAATCATTCGCACCATCACGATCCCGACCAGTTACTTGACGTCCCACTGTTCCTGGTCGGCGCTGTTCCAGGTGCCAGAGAAGTACTTGAAGGCGAGCACCCCAGCAATGCCCGTCATGACGCACGACTGGGCGTTCTGCCGGTGGCTGGCGATCGAGCACGGTCTCGTGGCCATCCCCACCAGTCCGTTCTTTTCGGAAGACTCTCGCAAGAAAGGTCTCGGGAATGGCCTGGTGCGGTTCTGCTTCTGCAAGACGGACGAGACCATCGAAGCCGCCGCCGAAGTGCTGATGAAGATGGCCGAAGAGCAGGCTCAGATGGAGGGCAGCATCGCGGCGATTGAGCAGCCCGCCGCGGTCGCCGCTTGAAGCCAATAGCAAGCTGGTCTGGAAGAGGTTTTTTGATTGCTTGTCTAGTTTTTACCGTTCGGTTGAACAGGCGGGTGTTGGCATGGTGGTATCTTTTTACCGTTCTGCGCTCCCGGTACACAACTTGTTTTGTCGGATGAGTGCCTGACGCTCGAGACGATGCTTTGGAGAAGGGCGTGGTGGTATGTAGGTGATACACGGATGGTTATTACCAGGTTTGTGTGAAGGTGAATAGCCAACTCTCATGTGGACAAGTTGGCTGTTGGAAACTCAGGTACAGCTGAATATGTGTAGTCAATGTTAAAATCAAGGCATCTTAGAAGCTGATCCAAGGTACCAACCCTTCAGACCGACACGGTTGAGTGATCGACCTTTTTTAGGTAAACGTTGCCCAAGGGAAATCGTGTGTTGGCGTAGTTTCAGGTTGAAAGCTCGTAAAGTTCATGCAGATCAAGATTGGTACAGTCGCTTACGTAGGTTAGGTTTGACGATGATGCTTGGTGAGCGTCAGTCTCGTGTGTAATTTTTTTAGCTTGAAAATTGGTGCGGTGGTGTTCGTCTTTGTGCGGTGTGGCCTCAGAACTAGTTTGTGTTGTACATACGAAAGGGGGAGTTATGTTTTATATTGCATTTCAAGTCAGCCCGTGGCGGAGGGCTGTAGTGTTAAGACAATGGCAAGGACGGGGCACAGCGGAGGTCAATGTTATTATCTTTTGAGTTGACAGATCCATGTGGCACCTCGATCAAAACAGCAGTATATACTTGGGCGTAGTATTTCTTGATTTTTGTAGTCCTTCTCCTGTGCATCGCATCGCCACTCTCCCACTATTTTTCCTACACTTCTGCGTTGATATTTCACGATTCCCGTCTGATTTGGTGGTGCTAGTTTCTAAGCTGTGTTCTTTCTTCACCCGAAACGAATAAAACTGAGAACCGACGAAAGAACCACCTACGACACAAATGCATAGAGGCCATGGCTCAGTGTTCGGAGCTGTGAGTTTTCGTGGGTAAAAGTGAAAGTTCAACGACGCCCAGTAGGAAAAAAACTCCTGCACAAAACTTGACTTGTTGTATGCGTGCATGAATGTATGCATCCACTGAAACAAAGAGAATTACAGTTGCATCTGAAATGCCTTGCTCACAGACAAAGTGCGAACAACACCCGCCGATAGCGTCTCCTCTACGCACTACGCACAAAGCAGCACGCAGAAAACAAACCGAACACCGAAAGTGCGTGTGGGTGCGGGGTAACTCTCGGGCCTGTTGGCCTGTTCACAAAAAGTTCTTCCGAACCGGCAGAAACGCTTGGTATTCCGCCGCGTTGCCACCAACACCACACCCGCGACGCGTGACTACATGTAGCTCTACTTTCCGTGGCTAGAGTTGAATGGCTGTTCTCGTCATGGCTTGATCCACGGTGACACACCGCACGGATGTACGAGTGCCATGCCTCGACGAGACCGACACAAAGTCTACGCTGCCGCCGAGTTCCAGCAGGAGCGAGAAGGACGCGGCGACATTGCCCTTCTAGCGGTCTCTACAGCGGACGCCTTGCTAGACAGTGGTTCCTCTCCGATAGCAGCTTCTCGAAGTCAACAAGTCGGGCACGTGTTGTGCACCGGTGGCAGTGTCGGTGCTCGCGCGGACGAACGAAGTAGGAGGCATGCGGAGGCGGCGGGAACCCTCGGAAGCGTCGGGCCAGGCGCGGAGCCCCCTGTTGCAGTAGCGTCTCATGCGTTTGCTCACGAGGAGCCACGCACAGAGGAGGCACCCGACTGTCCACAAGGCTTCAACCAGGGTATGGAAGGAGCCCCATTGAGCTACAACTCTTTGGGCGGGGAAGTGATGTCTACTAGTGTGGGTGGTGGGGTGTTTGAAAGCTGTGGTCAAACGGACCCCAGCCAGAAGCAACACAGCGCGAAGGAAGACGCCGCCAGCTTGCGACCTGAGAGCATCAAAACCAACAACGAGGGAGAGGTTGATACCCTGCCCGACTCTTTCAATCTCTCCGACGAACACGGTCCAGAAGGAGCATCAACCGGACGCAACCATCGCGATGAAGAGGACGACGATAGTGTAAAACCCAGCGACGGCCCACGTTTTCTGGGGCTTTCAATAGACACTAGAAATAGCCGTAGGAACCAAACGTTAAGCCGCGTCGACCATAAATCGTCTTCTCGGCGCTGTTGGAAAAGTAATACAGACGACGATAGGTCGACGAGCGGGTTCCAGGTGAGGGGGGAGGAAGACAGCGGTATCGGATCCGTTAGCGTGAGTGACAGTTCGGACTGCTGGCCCGCATCTTCCGGAAGACGAAGAAAGGATTTCTTCGGCCAGCGTATTACCCAGAGCTCTCGTCGATTGCCATCAAACTCCACGCAAAACTACTCGCGAATTGCTCCACTCGAGGATTTCGAAGAGGCTTGCGAATTTGATAGTGGGGGAGCACGTCGACATCGTCGTGCCAGCAGTAGAAACAGCACGAAGCACCGGTCTCCACCACCGCGGCGACATCGTCGAGCTACCGAGTACATTAACCATCAACGTCGTCATCGTCGAGCAGACGGCAGACAAAAGAGCCGAGGTAGCAGAAGATTAGAGCTGACGGAAACGAAGTCATTGTCCGGAGAGGTGAATCATCAGGTTGAGGCGGAAATGGTTGAGCTCAGGAGGGAGAACGAAGCGCTAAAGCAACAGCAAAAGCGAACATCAAGGTACAATGACATCTGCAGCTTCTAGTGAATCGAACCTCACTCCCGCAGTGTCTTCATTTCCCGGTCTTTTCATAAGCCGGTCCTGCGCCCAGAGGATCCATCCGCCCGAAACTCGGTGCCCATCAAACCGATGCATTCCTGTCTGTATTGTTGTACGATTCATTTTTCTGGTCTGGTCTTGGCTCTATATCTATCTCCGTGAACAAACGTCTGTGTTCATCATGGCGTCATGTCTGTCGGAAATTCGTGTGTTTGGCAGAATGAGTGATGGAGGATTCGACGTCGGCCCGTGGAACAACAAACATGACCCCGACGGTCACTTCGGATCGCTGGACTCACCTCATCTCTCGGGTCGGCGGCACGATCACGCGCGGGAAGATACTAGGCATCGCGAACGATTGAAACGTGAGAACGAGGCACTCAGAGCGCAGCAACAACTGCGCAACGAACAAGGACAGCGATTGCTCTCTTTTTCTCATGGCTTTGAACCCCCGGAAATGGACGTCTCGCCAATACGCTCAAATTCCAGAAGGAGGCGAGATGCCGCGAGTTCTCGTCCTACGCCGGAGAGTTGGTCAGACTTCGTGAGGGGCAACTCGTCCCCGCGCTCGGTAGGGCCAACGGGATGGGGGAACGAGTCGTCGGGAAATTCTGCCAACGGGTTAGATCTTAGCCTCCCTCGTGTTCTTGTCGAAGGTGGCTTTCTGTGGAAATTTCCTTACCACAACGCGGGAACACCGAAGCGCCGCTGGTTTCAAATGAAACCGGCAGAGGGACTGCTCACTACGGCAAGCGGGCGTTTGGTCGTGCGGCCGACGGCAGGAGGAGGCGGCGGTAGCGGAGTGTGTGGGCGGGAGGCCGACCGCGGCAACGAGTCGAGTCGCGCTGGAGGAGGTGACAAGGGCGCTGCGCCGTCCATCCCGATGATGCGGCTGCACGCCGCTTGGCCTCTCACTTTCATCTGGGTGGACCCCGAGAGAGACCTCAAGAGGTTTCCTCCGAGGGAGATAGTAGTCGAAGAGATTGTGGATCTAGCTAGGGGGCACAAAACGCCGGCGTTCTGGCAGCAAGCTTCGCACCGCGGAATCCACACGCTCCCGGATCCGAAGCTATGCTTCAGCCTGGTGGGGCACGACAGAAGTCTCGACCTCGCGGCCGAGAGTCTCCCGGAGGCAAGGGAGTGGGTGTGCGCGCTTGCGAGGGTGGCGCTGATGGCCAAGCGAGGAGGGTTGGTGGAGGCTGCTGGCGATGCTGTTGCTCCCCTTCTTCCTCATCGCTTTTGGCCCGAGCCCGCTGCAAGCCCTGCCGGCCCTGATCTCGAAGAAAACATGTCTGGCGAAAGGCTCATTGATGTCGACCACGAGGTTGACTCCCGTGTAGGAGGGCAACGGCAAAGCGATCGAGCCGCAACCGCGCTCAACACAGAGGTTTCCCGGCATGAAGTCTCCCTTCGCTCGGATGCGGACCTTTCTTCGGAGATACCAAAGGTGTTCGGGGAGGGCGGAGCATGGTCTGTAGATACGATCCACGCCTGGCGGCGACGCCTCTTTCCGGCTGTCAGGCGCGGAGACATTGCGGCCGTGCTTGCCATTTTCGACCAGGGCTGTCCGGTCGACATTGCCCAGACAGGAACCGGAGACACCCCGATGCTTCTTGCCTGCCGCCTGGGGGATGTCGGGATGGTGCGGGAATGCCTCCGCCGTGGTTCTCGGAACGATCCGCACCCGGCCTTCGGACAGACGGCGCTTCAGGCTGCGGTAGCCTCGGGGCAGGAGGCTTGCGCGCGGCTTATCCTCGAGACGGCCGCTCCGAGCCGCTCCGACGCTGTGGTGTCCAACCACAAGGACCCCAACAAAGAGACACCGCTCCATGTCGCGTGCCGCCGGGGGTATGACGGTATCGTGGAAGCTCTGCTTCATCACGGGGCTGACTTGCGAGCTGTTGACAGAAAGGGAAACACCCCGCTGCATGGGGCAGCCGGGAGTGGGCATGCCGGAGCGCTCGGGTCTCTTCTGGACGCTGGCGGCGATGTCGTCTTGGAGGAGAGAAACGCAAGGGGGGACAGGGCGCTACACACGGCGGCTGCCCCCGGACACATCGCCTGCGTCGAACTATTGCTGGGTACAGCTGCCGAACCAGAGTGAGTGTTTTTCCAGCTTCAAGAAGATTTGGGGTTGTTCTGCTCTATATTGCGGTGTTGTGGCGCACGTTTTTTTTATGCATATATGGTTTCGAGGTTTGGTAGTGAATCCACCAGGGTTTTTGGTTGCCCCGATGCTCCATAGTTATACGGTAGTCAACAACGCTCTTCGTCTCGCTCTTTCTGTGCTTTTGACGTAGCGGCACTATCGTGCTGCCTTCTCTGATGAACTGGCCGACATTATTCAAGCCTGCGGGCACCGCACGTCACCCCCCCCCGTCTTTGCCTGTGGCTCATGTGTAGCGTTCCGAACGCAGATGGTCAAACCCCGTTTGCACTGGCGTCTCGAGGCGGCCATCTTGCCGTCACGAGGCTTATCCGGAAATATGCTCCTGCCGCGGGAACACCGTCCGGGGGAGATGCACAGTTTCAGGCTCATCGTCGAGCGAACGAAGGGGGGGGATCTGCCACGGCTGACGCACTACCACGGCCACACTCGAGCGGTTCTGCATCGAACCCGTAAGCGCTGATGCCTGTTACGCAGAGTCGAAGGGGCTATTGCGTATCGCCACTGCCCCTTCCCCCCCCGCTTCGACAAATAGCGTTCCGGTTCTACACAAGTAAAGAGTGGAAGACCACAACGATGGCACAATGGTTGTTGTCGATATCGGACTTAAGGAAATATGTGCCGCTTAGCTTTTTCTGAGTTGAATCACGGTATGCCCGCGCAGGAACATCAAGCTGTTCTTACACGCCCACGCCCTCGTCACGTTCATAGCAACCAGACGCTCGTTTTTTCCGCATGTTGTCAATATATCACATATCCTTAATTCGGCGCTATGACTTCGACAGGACGCCTGATCACCGCAGTCGAGATCTGGAACACCGCTGCTACTCGGCGGCGGGTTTAGGCCACCAGCAGTTCGAAGACTTGAACGACCCAACGTCCTGCAGGCAACCCGTTTACACATCTGGGGCGGATTCTTCTGATCGAGACTTGCTGCGATCGACCAGCGAGCAAGACAGAAGGCAAGATTTGCATCTACTCGATACTTGCCGCTCAAAGGGTGTTGTTTTCGTGTACCAAATACCGCATCTCTGCCCAATGCTGGTTTATCTACGCGTATTATGTGTCAAGCATGTGTTGCTTTGTCTCTCGGGGCTCCTTGGGGTGAATCAGTTCTCGTTCCATTTCCCTTCTGGCACGTTTATGGCCTGCCTTGTAGACAACCGCAAGTCCAAGCAGTACACCCCAAGGAAAATGGACGGCGGTCGCATCGTGGTTTGCTTTCTTGCTGTCGTGGTTGATACGACTGCCTTCCAAAACTGCTCGCGAAGAGCACCTGCAACGCTCGCTCACGACGATCACCTCCTGTGCTAACCGTGACGACGGTACTCCAGAGGTCTCTACGCACGCGGTGGGGAACTACACAACACCAAGGCTACTCCTCCTCAGTCTACCGTCGAAGAGGACGTCATTTCTCCGGCGTCGTCTGCCTCCGCTCCGGTTCAAGGCAGACATGGCAGTCTCTTCGACGGCCTTCAGGTGTACGTGGTCGGGGGCAGGCAGCCGCTTGGCTCGCAGCATTCCTGTGCTGCACCTGGAAATGTGTCAGCGTTGGCTCGCGTGCCTGTCAGCGCCAGGACCATGGTACTCGACAGTCACCGCCTCTCGACGGCATCTCATCACCACCAACGGCGGGAGGAACAGCAGCAGCAGCATCAAAACTACTACCCTTCAAACCAGCACACTTCGTACAACTCGTCGTTGTCGACAGCGTCCTTTGAGGGCTTGGATCCGAACTGGAGAGACAACGTCTTGAGCGCACCTTCGACCGTGGCTCCTTCTCCTCCGACTCCAGTTTTACCTCCGGAGGACGATCGGAGACCGAGTTGTGACTCGACGCCGCTGTTGTCCGCCGTTCCTTCAACGGCAACCACAAACATCGGGGACGGGACCAGCGTCGTAGGTGTCCCGGGCAGCGCCCGTGCTCTGGCACGGATGATCCACTTCAACAGTACTAACGGTCGGGACGAGAATGAGATCTCCAGGAGAGGTGCGTCTGCTTCGGCTTCGTCAATGAGGACCCAGAATCTTACCGAGAAGGAAATTGAGGAGCTGGATGGTAGCACTGCGGCATCGAGAAATAGCGGCGGCGGCGGCGAAACAGCGGCCGAACCGATAGGGTCGTGGATGACCTCCGTAGATGACGATCAGGATACATCGGGTGCCTCCTCGCGAGCTCCAGAGGTCGGCGGCAAGGGCCACGGAGGTGGTACGGACCAGACATCTACGTCGGGTAGCCCTCGTGCTGATGCGGCGGAATTCCTCGAATCGCACGTGGACAACAAACCAGTCCTGGGGCGTGGGACTTCACGAAGTGGAGCGACCGCTGGCCAAGAAGCGGTTGAAATCGAAGAATCGGAGAAGGAAGGTGACTCTTTCGTGATAGTTGTTTCACAGGAAATGGGTGGGAGGCAAACAAGGGATGCATCAGCAGCGTTGGCAGGGCTCTGGAAGGTGTTCCAGTCGGAGGGGTACCCCTATTACCTCCATGAAGCTTCCGGGCATACGCAGTGGGAGGACCCGAGAGAGGTGGAACGCTTGCGTGTGCTAGAGTTCTCGGCTGACACAGGTGTTACAGCCGATGTGCGAGGAGAGGGCTTGGGAGAATGCTCAGAGCCAAACGGAGAGGCAGCGTTGTTGGAGGAGCACCCGGAGGAAGGAAACGGCGGGCTCTCCGACAAAACACCGATTGAAAGAGAACAACCGCCGCCGCCTGCGTCACCCATCAAACCGGCAGGAGTGCCTGTTGCGGTGAAAGTTGCCAGGTTTGTCGAAACCGTCGCAACTTCAAGGACGGTGGTAAACACTCCACAAGACTCAAACAACTGCCATACAGCAGCATCATCGGAGTTCTGCCATACAGCAGCATCGTCGGAGTTCGGAGAAGGGGATCAGGAACTGAGTCGGGGACGCACGGATGTTGATGCTTTGGAGGAGGATTTCGACGGTGTGGGTCTGGTCGGAGCTACCACTATGTCGAATGAGAACAACAGCATCGACAGTTTTATTTATGGCAGTACGTGTAGCACCAGCGACAAGCGTGACTGCAACAACAACAATAGCAACAGCAGCAGCGGCAGCAGCGGCAGCAACAGTGGTACAACCAGCAGCAACGGCAGCGACATGGACAAAAACAGTGGCAACGATAGCGGCAACGACCGCCTCTCAGATGTCGAGGATGAAGTAGCGGGGCCAGATTCGCAACGGTCTACGGATAAAGCGACAACCAAGAAATCGAGGCGTACAGAAAAATACACAGGCGATGACGTAGGAACGAAACAGTGGGACCAAGCCGAGCTCGATGTGTCATGGTCATCGCTCCCGCAGGTTGGGGCGGAGAGAACAGCCGCTTTTCTTGCTGACGGTGTTCAAGGCTCGAAAATTCGCTCTCCTGATGCCAGCGCCGATGGGTCAGTTAGTCTAGGCATTGTGGACAAAGGTAAAGCTATCGGTAGCGGGGGCGTCGACTGCAGAAGAACAGAGCGGAGCAGCAACAACCTGGAGGGGCGGGAAGAGTGGTGGCAAGAGCTAGATGATGACACGGTGGGGGAGACGAAAAGCGGAGGAGAGTTGCTGCTATCCTGAAGAGGTGAGCAATAAAGAACATATGTAGTCTACTAGCCCAAGGAGCTAATGGCAATGACTTTCTGTTTTCTGCATCAAACATCCCCCATTTTCTGTATCATATGATAGGTTGCCATATTATTTCCAATACCTCCTCCCCCTTCCCCGTACGAACGTAGAAATGGAAGCCTTCTTTGGCGAATCCTCGCGATCTATGCAAGCTCGAAGCTTCCGGGATTGGAACTGTCCTCCTAAGCCGAGATCCGAGACATTGTCCCAACCACAATGAACGTCTCCATTGTACTTTTTCCCTCTGGATTGCATGGTGCTCATCGGCAGCAATCGCCCGTGGGGCGCACAAAGCCAACCCCCTGTCATCAATCGGCGAGACTCGCGTTCGTATTTACTGTTGCTTCCAAGAAGTTGCATTTCCTGAAACGGAATCTCGCTTCATTGCTTGACGAAGAGGTAGATATTTATTTACAGATGGAGTGGTGGAACTGGAACAGCAAGGGTGGAACACTGGGTGCTAAAAGCGCCATAGATCGCGCTCGCATCAGCGTTCCATTGACAAGTAATGCGACTCATATGGCGTGGTGGCTAGGGTTGTTCTACCATCACCCACCCACCAACCCCCGCTTGCAACGTCGCCGTTTTAACCTCCTCGTAATCACAGAGAAGGACACCCACGAGGCAACCACGGGGACCTTCAACGACAAAACCTAGCCCGTCGCCTCGCACGCACATCCGCCAGGACTTAAATGCGGCAAATATGAAGTGCCTTGGTACGCATTAGTCTATCTTGTCGAGCGGCGGCTTGCGCACGGTGTTCTCGACGGACCACACGAGGAAGTAGCGCCGATCCATCTACGCTACCCTCGGAGACCCTTTCGCCGTTGGGGGAGGGAAAGCTACAATACAGTTTGGCACCATTGCTCGATACTTGGCAGGGTTGTCTGGGCTGTGGAAGCAGTATCCTGCAAGAAGAAGGGCGCCCTGTCAGCTAAACGCTGTCACAAAGATGGTGTAGTTCAATTTGGTATGCACCACTTCAAAGTAGTGTTGATGTTGGTTGCTTGCCGAAGTGTTCAATGAAGTTTCTCAATCGTAGTGTGGCTCATGCATCCGAAGGTTCTGATCAGATATAAAAATGATAGAATCGACAGAAACAAGACCACGATCCATTTGAGGAAGAAAGTAAAACCACGGTAGAAAAATTAGACTACACAGCGCAATGCGTTTGCGGCCAGGACCTGCGAAGGGGACAAGCTGCTGCGCGCCAGTGTCGCGTAACATATTTACATATGGTATTTAGGACCAGGTTTCTACTTTGCCTTTTCGATGGGCGTCTTTGTCGGCGACGGACTCCAGTTGTCAATAGGTATGTCTTCCCGGTGGCTACCTACTACAATGTAGGTGGAAAGATTTTCAAGGAAGAAGTGAGAGTGTTGCCGTACCATATACTTCCTTGCTCGTGTTGCAGTGATCCCTAGCGTCAGTGCAGTACAATGATGACCGCCGCGGAAACCGGGGTCTGTCCACCCGAAAGTTCCCGTGGCCGGCATGTAAGACGTAGGCCACACCCTATGTGATGTAGGTAAACCTTTTCCCTGCGAAGGCCGCAGCTCGTTTTCTATTTTAGGCTGAACGCGGCTACGTGCATGTATGTTGCTTCTGTACGTGAGCCGATCAAAGCTTGATTAACACGGAAGGGTGTCGCCCCGTTAGGAGAAAATTGGCAGGATTTTTCACTCAAAAGAATGGTAGGTGGTAGGACTCTTTCGACTGGTTGGAAGTGATGCAGTGACGTCGTGGCAAAATAAACTACGCGAACACCTCACAGTTCCACCCTCGTCTCAAGGTCAACCAATTGTGCCCAGAGAAAATACAGTCCTCCTTTGGTTTGATGGCCGATTGTTTAGTCTAGATAGATATGACGTTTCTACAGGATGTTTTGGTTCCGACCGATTGTTGACGACGAGTGCGGGTCGTTGTTTTTCATGTACAACGTAAAAAGAGGTATTTTTGGAGCCAACGTGTGCGTATCTCTCTCTCCTCCTCTCCGAACGAAAACCATCCTCAATGGTTAGCCTCGTTGCGGAGACGTCTCTCAACGGGGCCTCTGGTCTAGACTACGACCAATCACCCGTGTGCTCCACCATGAGCGAGCAGCACCTGCACGAACACCACCGGCGTTAGCCCCTCTAGGTGGCAATCGACTATTTGGCCGCTTGCCTCCACACAAAATATTGCACCTCATATTACCAAAGTATTAGCGTTCGTTTGTTTTGTAGCTCAGGACTAGGAACCGGACAACAGATAGCACAACTAACACCGTCATTCCGTTGTCTGCCTTTCAAACACCACCAGAATGGTGAAGATATCTAACGATCATCGATGTTGGCCCCATCTATTGCTCGTGCACCTGCTTCTTGGCTGTGGAGAAAGGGCATCAAGTACTGGAGAAAACGGTGTTACTCCTACTTTTCACAAAAGCATTCACCAACTGGACGAACCCTCAACCTTTGAGGGGGGGAGTGGTTGCTTGATGGGGTTCACTAAAAAAATGTACCGTAGAAGAACCATTTAGTGAATGTCGTACGTACAACAACACCAGCAGCACTAACAACGTTTAGATAAATAAGGGATATTTCATGCCTCGGTCTACCCGAAAGACAATTGCCAGGCCGATCCGGCAACGAACAACGGCTACCGCCGCCGCCCGGCCACCTTTTTCGCCCTTGCCGCCGCCCCCCTGGCCAAGACTTTTCGCAGTTCGGGATCATCTTCCTCCTCGTCCTCCTCGTCCTCCTCTTGTTGTTGCTTCTGCTGCCTCTGACCTTTCGTGGTGTCGTTTGCCGGTTTTGTTGTGGGTGTGCTTGACGAGGGTGACTTTGCTGGTGCTCCTGGTGCCGCTTGCGGAAATGCTGACTCCACCGGCGCGTCATCATTCTCGACTCGTGTCTCCACACCACCGTCTTGACCTTTGTCAATTGCGGTTTGAGCAGCCTCGTCCTGTGCTTTTTCTTCGGCGGCAGCCTTTGATGCAGGCGTGGGGTGATTTTGGATATTTTTGGAGACAGGAATCCATGGGCCGGGGGGGAAGGTGTGGTTTGGAAAGGTTGAGGTACGGCGATATATCATGTTCAGCGTCCTCAACCACCCTGAACACGTGTTACGGAATGCGGTAGCCTACAGTAGTGTGTTCTCTGCAATGCGACGCGAGGTGAAGAAAAACACTCGGACATTCGACCATTCATTCCTGGACGCACGTCGACTATGGACCATCAATCAAGCGTCCGATGCTTCTCCATCTATCTATGCTTAGAGGATGGTGTGAATGTTTCACGAGGAGCCACACCGATGGAGGACCATCTACAGATGCCCCCGATTGCTCTCGTCTCACCAACACTTCAAGCTCCACCCTCCTCTTGGCCGCTTCGATGCGTTTCGTCGATTCCTTCTCCTCCTGTTCACGCTCCCACGCTTCCTCAACGTCTCCGTATATGGCCATTGCGGCCGCTTTCCTAAGACAACGACACACGCGCGCAGAACATGGAAAACTGAGTAAAGCCAATTAAAGACGTACATAGATCAGCCATATTTCGTGTAAGGGGAACAACCACCACAGGAACCTACCGGTTTGCCTGATATTGCCAAGAAATGTGTACGCGGTGTCACGTAGCAAATACATCAAAAACCAGGCCGACTCGATAGTTGCTTATATTGTTGATGTGTCCTTTCTTTTCCTCACGTTGTTCCTCACAAATTGCACGTTTGGCTGATGCCGTGGCTCGGATAATAGTTTAGAGTATTCCCCCCAAAAAACTGCCATCTCAAATGTTCCGTTACCAGGTATATTTTCATTCTTATGTATTTCTGCGTCCATCCCAACAAGATATTCGTCACTGATACAAAATTACAGACGTAGGTGGATGTTCCCCGACGCTGACATAACCGGGGTTTTATTCACTTGCGCCTACAACCATACTTATAAACACCTACCTGGCCTTGGCCGCCCGACCAGCCTTCTGCCTTGCGTCTGCCTGCCTGAATGCCCTACGCATCAAACCTGCGTCTCTCGCCCTCTCCCGCTTCTTCGCTGCCTCCACGGCTAACAGGCGCCGATGCCTGTTGGTGATTTGCGTGCAAAATATGGGTGTTATTGTTGTTTTTCTCGATGATATCTCGTTAGCTAGGTTTCGGTCACCCCTCAACAACCGCTCACACGTGTGGCAACAGGTATCTGCAGGCGTCCCTTTCTGTACAGGGGGCGATGACAACAAACACGAGGCACACGATAGGATGCCCATAACAGAGGCGATGGTGGAGCACCAGCCACAAAAAAACACAACGATGGGTGCGCTGTGCGAGCTATGCGCACCAGATGGTCTATAACAAGTACTGTACAGGAGTACAGAAGCCTATGCTGAACCCATCGTTGTCAGACCGAAACTTGCGCAAGCTTCGCTGTCCAAACCCGTACTTGATTCGTGCTACGATACGGGTGCAAAAGCTCATGTCTGAGACCCTACGAGCAAGTAACTCGATATCGTAGCTAAGGAAGTACCTTCGCGATAAGTGAAGGCGTAACATGGCAAGAAATCTCGTTGGCTATGGAGATTAACGAAACAAACTTGAAGTATGGACGGAAGATGTTGTCGACGTACGGGGAGGTAGGTTCCCATGAGACGAGTGAGACGAGTGCCGTCTGTAGATGGAAGATTTTATGGGAGTATGAATGTTGGGGGAGCCATAGTCTTCGTGAAAGCCCTCGGACAAAAGGTGGATGCGTTTCCCCCCCCCTCCCTCTCGACCCCCCCCGGGTTTTCGTCGCTTGGCAACGACGTTGTAAAACAAGCCGCCCCCCCCGGTGTTTGCCATCGGGGTTTGGGTTTTCGTCGCGTGGCAACGACGTTGTAAAACAAGCCCCCCACTCGGTGTTTGCCATCGGGATTGGGTTTTCGTCGCTTGGCAACGACGTTGTAAAACAAGCCAATTCACTTCGTGAACTCGGCAACCAGGTTACCGTCTTTTTTTTTTACCTCTGGTTTTTTTTTTGGCGGTAACCATAATGGTGGTCGAGTAGATCATGTTGTGCGGGGTCGAGAAACCTCACTCCGCGCAACGGGGGATGATCGCACCACGTTGTGTTAAAATGGTCAAGCTTCCTCGAGGCAGTTACACAGTGCTTACAACTGTCTCTGGAAGTGAAAGCACCAGAAAATAAATTAAGTCATACGTAGCTGTCATCCGAACGCAAGGAAGTAAGCACAAGATGCCGAACACCCTTAGCAGGATGCAGCTCACCCTTCATGCGACTCGCCAAATACCTCACGGCGCTTCGCGCTTGGTGATGTGAGAGCCTGGTCCGGTGAGAACCCGGCGTGCTCCGTCCCGGCTTTGTAGGGATGCGAGGTCAATGGTCAAACGACTACGGCATGCACGACTATGAGTACACCCCCCTCCCTCTCGACGACCAAAAAACGATAGGCGCTTTCAGTTCCGTTCCGGGGTCTGTCGTCTGAAGACTACAGCCGTTGGCGGAAAGTCAATGCACTCCCTTCCTGCTAACCCCCTGCTCTTGACGCTCCAATTCAGACCTTGTGCGGAGAGTGCTCCGCCCGTCCCGCAGAAGTTCCCGTCTGATAGCGGTGTCCCTTATCGGCACTCCATACGGGGTGAACACGAATCCCCTCTTAATATCGGCCATGTCGACGGACTGGGCGACATAGGCCATCCCCTCTTTCGCTTGTGCCACGAGAAGCGCGATGTCTGCTCTTTGTTTCGATAGCTCTACCCGTGCGGAGCTTTCTTTCACGGTGTTGCTTCGATTTCTCTTTCCGTCGGTGTCAGGAGGAGTGCCAGCAGAAGCGCTTCCGAGACTCCCTCCCTCTCGGAGTTCTTTTTCTCGCGACGACAACCCCGCGGCTTCTTCTAACCACGGGCTTCCCTGCAGGGTTTCTCCGATTTGCGTCGGTGATGTTGTACTATGGTCCTTGTTTTCGGAACTTGGCTCCGCCTCTGACCTACCGCCGTCCCTTCTTTCTCCGTCACTCCTCTCGTCTATGGCCTGGCCTTGGTCGCCCGTTTTGTCCAATTCGTCTTCGAAGGTGGATGAATTGCCAACAACCTCTCCTGCTTCCGGAGCGGGGGGTTCTTCTTCAGTGATAGTCGGCAAGGTATCTATCTCCCCTGCTGAATTGGTGCTGTTGGCAGCCGCGACTGCATCTCCGGTAAGGTCGAAAGCCTCGGCTTGCTTGCTCCCTTCCTCGGGGGAATCGACTGCAGCTGCTTCTGTCGATGGTATCGCGGTGACAACAGTATCGCCGGCTGCTGATTGGTCTGATCTTGTCCCATCGGGAGACGAACTATCGGCCTTGGAAGCAGCTATCGAGCTTTTTCCCTCTACCCCGGCTTCCTCTTTATCTTCGTTCACGTCTGCCATGGCAGATTCTTCTAACCGTTTCGCTTCCGCGTCTGCCTCCGCTGCTTGGCGCTGTCGGACGGCCAACCTCTCGTTCGTCTTGCGATCCGACTCCGCTTTTTTATCCTTACGTTCCTGTATGTTGTCGTGGCATTTGAGGATTCATTCGCCGAAACATTTTGTCAACAACGTGGGCGCGGAGAGCTAGGTGGAGACCCAAGAAGAACAACCCAGAAGATTGTAGGTCGGTCTAAATCTGCCTTCACCCACCTTTTGTCAGCGATCGTCCTGCTCTCCATGTATTGCGCAATTTCGACAAAAGACAGAGGGTTGGAACCTGCGCAAATTTGTTCGCAGCCCTGCTCGAAAGGCTACCGATAGTCTAGACAACAATCAATAAGAGAGAAGACATCTGAGACTTCATACTCTTCCATGCTTAGATAGAATTCTGAAAGAGCAAGAAGCCGAGAGAGCGTTTTGGTGGTTCCAACTAAACAAGAGCAGCGTTCTTTGATCCTTGCAAGGGAGAGTGACTTTGGGGTGATGAGCGACCTGGGGTTTCTGTTGAGTTGACACACCGACCACGTCGATCTGCTTGAGCTATCCTTAAACGGAGCATTCCTAAGGAAATCGCCAAACGGCTTCACCAATTCTCGTATGCACTCTCCGGTTTATCGAAGAAACATGGACATCACATGCCCTCCTGCGTCAAGAAGGTTTAACGGCCTAAGCCCAACCCTGCATCACCTGAATTATGTCGGGTACACTGCTCGCACTAGGGAATGTTCTAACACAGCAGTACCGGCACCTCACCTGCTCGGCTTCTCTCTCCCCCAGAAGGCGTTCTTCGAAATCCAACAGACGTGAAGCCACCTCACAGTCGGTCAAACCCCGCTGGTACTGACCCAGCTCTATCCTTGACTTGGCAAGCAGAAACCGGACCTTTCGACAGTGGTTTGTGCGAGAACCACAAAGAGGAGCGGATGCCTCTAAGTAGGCCTGTAGTGTGTGTGTTTTTGACGCTATGTCAATGGTGACGAGCAAGCTCTGCTGTGGGTATCCAGCAAGCGGTGTCAAACCTATCGTAGTATGGCAACCTGCCATCGGATTCAGCCTGAACTACTTCTGGAATCATAAGGCTTGCAGAAGAGAGTCCCTTGCCCTACTCAACTCGAACAAGCCTTCCGTACGTACACAGGAGGAAGGAAGTCATGAAAACGGCAGGCCTTGGTACATAGTGATTTAATCTCACATGCTGTTTTCCCGTCAACAACAGATTAAAGACGTCCGTACCGATTGATCGGGCATGGCGATATCGGGGTTAGCTATGTGCCAATATTCCTATGGAGAATCTTGGGGCCGGCTACCAGTCTCACTTTCGCCAAGCAAATGCAAGGGTAGAGTCTAGGAGCACAGTGTGTCTAACGGTCCTCCCTCTGTACAACCAGGTGAAGCACATCGTCGTAGCAAAATAGGTCATTACTCACCCCACTCGACTGATGCCGCATTCCTCTGCTCCCTCCTTCCCTATCCGCCCCGTCTAAATTCCCAACATTGTTCATATCATATGCTTTCAACCCGCATCTACCTTTGCGTTCTTCCGGAGTTGAACCAAAGCGAGTTCCAGATCATCCAGTGCAACGCCAGGCTTGCCCATTTCAGCCGCGACGGCCGCCCTGCCCAACCACACACCCGCCGATCGCCCCACCGGGCGTGACAGCTGCTCTAGCTGATCTGCGTAAGAGAAGGCTGATAGAGCGGCTCCGTGGTGGTGGTTTCTCTTTTCCCGCAGGTATGCACGTTCCAGTTCCTGGGCGTACAGTGTGGTGGAAAAGGTTGCCAAGTATTGTAAGTGTCTTGTGATCATAAGACGAAATATCGTGGCAGGTGCACTCATGTCTTGTTCGTTTCGAACCATCGACCATCAGGCAGCTTTTCCCTTCGTCTCCCGTTCGTCGAAGAGCAGGTAGAGAGAGACGGATGACTCGTGGTTGGCCTCCTCAACCTATGTTCGAGTCTTGTCGTAAAAAGTTCCACGTTTTCGGTAGATCAGGTCAGAAGGCGATGTCCAACACTTCAGATTCAAGGTACAGGGGCTCCATACGCTCTAGTACGCTCTACATGGTGCTGAGGGAAACGTTAAGACGGCGCACTGAAACGTTTCGTCTCGTTAAAATTGCTGAAGACGAGAGTTTGGCCTAGACATACCTGTAAACCAACGAAAGGCCTCCACAGGGATCCGTTCTACTGTTTGAACCACACTCCGTCCCGCAACTCAGTGAAGGGGGCCAAACTTAAAATCTTGGTGGACCCGGTGTAGCAATGAAGGTGTCATACACATGGTTCGGTTTTTCGTGGCTTGAATAGGGTCATACCTGTTGACGGCGCTCTTCGCGCTCTCCCGTGTCTATCGACCTAGTGGCCATGGAGGAGTCCTCCGTCATGTCTACGCTCTGCAAGCTCAAACTCCCCGCGACGCTGCCCCCGGAGGCTCCGCTGAGTCGTGGTGGGTGAAAAGACGGCGATACAGCCGTAACGTCATGAAGGACCAAGAGTGTGTGTCGTTATGGCGGGTCGTCATCGAATAGCGGTCGTTTGACTAACTGACAGATATCTTAATCTCACAACCCAGGGCCATCGATCGGCTCTACATGGCGACCTCCTGCGCGTTCTGCGGCAGGACCGCCTGTAGTGAACAGGACTACGACTACGCAACGCTTCCATCAACTCTGGTTATAATTTTTTATCCCGGAAGTGCGATTCCTCTTTCGTGAAATATGAAAGTGAAATGGGAATTGTTGGAGCAACACATTAGTTTTATGTGTGCCACGTGAAGCAGGTACAGGGTCGAGTATCACTATCAACACGGGTCGGGGATGTGTGACCGTGGACTCGGTAAGAGCTGCGTTCCTAATATCACACGGCGCGGAGCTTCGGTTATCGAAGAGGTGGTAAAGGCCAACGTGTTGAAAAACTGGAAATAGATGTCTCAATCAGTCTTATCAAGGAGCGAGCGACACAGGTGAGGATGAATATGGGGATTTAGATTGAATCCTTCCGGTGCCTCGTGTTGGTGGAAAATGTCCGAGGATGAGTGGGTCTGTCATCCTTCTCCCCCTTTGACTCCCCCTAACACTTACTAACGAGGACGTGCCTTGCACACACAAGTGCAAACGGCACCAACCACAATATTGAACCTTCGAAGTTTTGCTCCGTAGTGGTACAAAAATACACCAGCGATCGTTCATGCAATCGAACTGTACACACCGCACTTCGAGTAATTGGTCGACCATGAAAGCACAACGCACGCACAGTAAAACATGGTTAAGGTCGAGTGCCACTTATCCTGAATACTCACTCCGTCTTTCCGGTCATATCATCGATCTCGATAGCTACCTTCCTAGCCCCCCGCAGGTGCGCCATGGCCAAACTGACGTGGTGGAACGTGTCCGTGTCGTGAGGCCTCGTCTTGGCAAGAGGAGGACCCTCGCCGGCAACATCAGGGAAGTCGGGCACGACGTGCACTACGTCCTTGTAGGCCTCCGCTGCCACGTTCAGGAGCCGGGCCGCCTCTTCCCAATCCTTTTCGTTTATATTTTGTGTTTGGTGGGGGAGGGGGAGGGCGTTCGCTGATCAAGAAAGCTAAAGTATTACCATCTAGAAGTACACGAGAAAACGACGGCGATGAATGTTCATGATCATTTGAAGCTTCTTTCGACTCGTGGTCATCCTCAGTGCCCGATTTTTCGTATTCATTGCCATCCGACCCTTAGAAACAGCTGCGGCTAGTACATCTCTCGTAGTTGCGTCTCCGCGGGCTTGCCCCTTACCCCTCTGTGCATGGCGTCGTGTCCCCGCTGAGCAGCCTGGAGCAAGCGGAGGGATTGTCGACGTCTACCCCGCAAAGGGTTTCTGGAGAGAACAAGATGCGTCAGCAGGGGCCACTGCCGCGTCACCGGCGGCGGAGACTCCATGGAGTTTCGAGAAAGCTCCGCGTATCGCATCTGGCGTTCGTACAACAACATCGGGTGCGTTAAATTTTTGCGAGATTGCTCATGCTGTTGTTGGCGTTCTTTTTCTGCTCATCTCCCCGTTGAAACTCATTTTGTCTAGGATACCTCCTATTCCCCTTCTCCTTGTACCATTTGTGCTATTGGCAACCACCTGAGATTATGTGATTACCTTCGTTAGGGTGATCAGGGAGGCCGGAAGGCTGCTGAGCTGGTTTCCGCCCAGGCGAAGCTCCTCGAGCGCTGTCAGCGTTTGGAAGTCGGGGGGTATCGCCCTAAGCCCGTTATCTTGGGCTCGGAGAACCCTGAGGGGGAGGAGGGCACAAAAAAGGCAAGTTTCACCATGCAATGGGATAGGCGAATGGCTGGTGCGGGGAAAATGAACGGATTTTGCTACCACCCAGCGTGATATTCGAAAAAATGTTTTCGGGATATTGGACACAGGCAATGCTTGGTTGAGAAAGAACATCAACATCTAATATCGTTCTGAAAGCAAGAGTCTTCAAGAAATCGGGCAGGTAGTTCTTCCTTCTATTTACACCTCATTTTCTTTGCAGCCTGCCATTCTTACGAGAGTTCATATTTTTTTTCCTGTGTGCATTGTGACCACAAAGTGGCTGGCCGGTTCGGTTGGTAATCTCGAAAAACCTTCGGCCCTAGGTTGGGAAAACCTCGTACACAACACAATTAGGGGGGGGTCTGCTGGGGGCTCCTCGCGTCATTCTTGAAGGCAAGCACCGCACGAGAAACGGTGGAGATATCCTCCTGTGTGACCTTCCAAATTAACCCGAAAGGTGTAGGCTGGCGTCCACAACAAATGGGATAAGAAAATATGTTTACAAAGTCTGAGGGTAGGGGGTTTTGATGGATATGAAGTTCAAGGCGCCCTCATTGGAGTAAAGGGTCGGTGAGGTTACTTTGGGTCTTGCCGTGTGATGGGAGGGGGGAGAAGCGTTCAGGGTCTTGCTGCTTGCCAATAACCTGGGTTCCACATCGGAGTTGGAGGATCCTCACCTGAGCCTGGTGAGCATAGACAACCCGTCCGGCAGTTGGTTTATCGTCCCACCGCTCACGTCAAGGGTCTCTAGCGCCGTGCAGCGAGACAGCTCGGGAGAAATCAGCTCCAGATTGTTCCCACCCGCGTCGAGAGACGTCAGGGAGATCATGCTACCAACGCAAGACCCTAGATCCTGTTGTGCGAGTGGTGGGTTTCAGTTTGAAAGAGTCGTTGGATACAAATATCGATGTCGATATTGATGTTGAAATGAACATGTCTGATATTGCGTGGACGGAGTGTGTGTGTGTTCGCCTGGCAGGAGGCAACGGAGTTCCGGAAGGCAGAATCCTAACGTTTGAACACTAGAGCGATTCGCTCTCAACGTTGTGTGCTCTATGAGTTCGGGAGATTTCAATCTATACGGTACCTATCCTAATTCGCAAAAAGAAACAGACCGGGTGTGGGAGGGGCGGGGGCAAGGATGGGAACAACTTCAGAGTAGGCACAGCAATACAAGGGTGTTGCCCACCATCCTCGAACTGTCCTCAGCGATGCCAAATTGAGGGGTAATGCCGCCGATACTCTCCTAAGAGGGACGATGGCGAAACTTGCTCCTATCGGCATAGTTGCTACCATGTGATGGAAAAGTTGACACGTAGGGAGGTTGGTATTACCCGGATGTTGTTGCCCCTGAGGCCCAGCTTTTTCAGCTTGAACAAAGCGGCCATTGATTGATCGAGAGTATCGATGTGGTTTTCGGAGAAGTCGAGACTTTCCAGCTTGTTCAGATGCCCTATCCCTTCTGGGCATCGGTCCAGACCAACGCCCCTCAGTCGCAGGTGTTTCATCTTGCGGAGGTTGGACACATCGAGGCTCCAGTTTTTGATGGGATTGTTGGACACACTTTGCGGATGAACGGACAGGCGGGGGCAGGATTGACATTGGGGGGCGGCAGTGGGCGAGTGGAGGACGTCAAATGATGAGGGCGAGCTAAGCCGGGAATCACTTTGTTGCCGTTGCCGTTGTCTTTGCCGTTGTGGTTGCGGTTGATATTGTTGCGTGGTGTCTGGATGGCTGCGTACGAAATTTCAAGTACTGCTCCCCGAAAAATTGTTTTGTGATAAAATGGCACTTATTGTCACAAGATGTTGCACGGCGGACGAATGATATTGGGTAAATATCACTGAGTGTCGAGCTTTATACAGTCTGCAGCGTTTTTCTGTTCGTACCGTAAGCCCCAGAAGATGACAACGCCCCAATGAAACAAGTACGACAAAGACGTTCGTTTTGTCGAAGCCAACAGTGGCTCTCTCGGTGTGGTTTAAGGACCCATATCCACAGAAAACTGTTAATCAAAAAATGAAGCCCCTTAGTTTCATTTCCGTCCTCGATTGACCCCTGTCAATCCGCTTTCGACTCCAGCACAAACGCAGAACCTGAAAGAGTGGAAACAACCGCATGTGCTTAGAGTTGCTCGTGGAGGGGAGGAGGTTAAGGTGTCACGAAAAGGACAACACCAGATCCAAGAAAGCCTTAAATTTTTTCGGTGCTCGCCGCGGAAACCCCCAACGTACCAAGAGCAAATAGCGACAAAGCAGTAATCTCTCCAAACGAACCGGGAGATTGTTGTTCGTATAGGCAGACCAGGTAGCACTTACTCTAGTTCTGTGAGCGTCTTGAATGTTTCCACCATGTCCGGTCTCTCCGTGAGACGGTTACCGTCCAATCGCAACACCTCCAGGGATACTAGGCGCGGCCCCTTTTGTTTCCTTCCCACGGGAAGGATGGAGTGGGTTTTGAGCTTGTTGTCGGAGAGGTCGAGGCGGGCCAAAGCCGAGAGGGAATTGATGGTGTGTGGAAGGCCTTTGAGGCTGTTGCCGCTAAGGTTGAGGTTCGTGAGTGCTGTGTTGTCCCCAACGATGGCGGGTACCTGTCAAATCAGCATTGTCGTGAGCGGTGGTAGTACAGTGGTTTTGTCGAGCTAGGCAGAGCGGGGTATTGGATAGTTGAGATGGCGCAGACCTGGCTGGGTTTCGATTGGTAAAACAGCGCCCAATGCACTTTTCCTCTTGGGCCCGGATGTTCCATTGGTACGCTCACGTACGCGAGCCCTTTGGGCCCGAGCTTGTAGTACCTTCCGGTCCAATACACAACTGTAGGTCTTTTTCTCGACCACACGGAACGAATATGATCACCTCAATCATACATCTTCCCTTCTAGGTCACGCTACCATGAATCGCTCCAAGTACAGCCCTTACTCGCCTCTTGAAGCTTGTTGTGGTCTAGACGCAAGTCCCGCAAGTTCCTGCACTCTTCCACTTGCGGCGGCCACGTCTTGAGGCGGTTGTAGCTCACGTCGAGAGTCACCAGTTCCCGGAGGAGACGGAGGCCGATCTTGCAAGATAGAAGTTGCACCGTGTAGGGCGATGTACAAACGGAGCAGAAAAACCATCCCGTGACAGATACGCTTGTGCTGAAAACGAACGATTCCCTTGCGACTGGAATATCGTACGTTTGGGTTGTACGGCCAGTCATCTACCTGTATGATAGATACACAACAACTGCCAGATTTTTCGTTTTCGTCTACTACAGGCCATGTTTAACCGCATCCTCCCCACAAAAGGATCATGATGGACTTTGTCGTCCTACCTCCCACTCGCGCGTCCTCTTGAGCAGCTGCAAGTCTCCTACTTGGAGCGGTACCTCCTTCAGCCTGCAGAGACGACATGAAAGTAGAATAGTTGGAGTGAGCCATACAACGTTTATGCCATCCCACAAGACAATGGTGTAACCGGCTGTAAGACACTGCAATGTACCTGTAACGATGTTGAGGCGGCAACGGTGGGTTTGACCGTAATGGGTCCCTCTTCCAGGTTACCTGATTGATCAAAGCATACACTTCGCGAAATCTGCTACGGCGTCTTCATGTGAAGCATATGGCTCATGTGCCCGTGCAAGAGAAACAGCTACCACACGCGGCCCGGTACTGGTACATGATTACCTGTTGTGCCCCAGATCGAGGGTCTCTAGCGAGCTGATGAGGTAGATATTGCCTCTGAAGCCGGAAATTAGGTTGTGCCCCAGTTGCAGGTGCTTGAGCTTCGTCAGCGCTTCCAATTCGTCTGGAATGGCCTGGATTCTAAACCGCCCCCAAACAACAGAACAAGGAAATTATTCACATTTCAATTTTTTCGAATTATCACTATCAGTCGCTCCGAGCAAGAGAGGACATTGTTTGTTCGCAGGTACAGGAAGACGAAGGAAAGTGTTCACGAGCTCATTTTTCAGTACCGAACCATATACATAGATTGCAGTTGATGATTTGGCGAGAAACAATGTGTATGTTCCAAATCGCTCACGAAATACTTCCCGATCACGAACAAGCAAGCTAATGTCTGTTTCACAAGAGGTTGAAACCCGCAAGGCAACATCTCCACCGCCTTGCTACCGACAACCCTCGGAATGTGTGGCCATTACTAGGTACCAAACACCCGTGCCCGTATCTGCTGGTCCCACCGTCGTTTGTTTGAAGGCCTCTTCGAAAATATACCTGGCCTGCGAAACACCTCTCACCCACCTGTTATGCCGAAAGTTAACGTCGACAAGGCTCTCCATGCCAGCTAGATCGGGAGAAATCCTGTAGAGTCGGTTGTTCGACAGATCCAACCTTTGCAACCAGTCCAGCCTGTAGACCCTCGAGGTAACTCTATCCATGTCCAACTTGCTTAGGTCCAAGATTTCGGGCCGCGCTCCGTCTATGCTATCCTCCGCTTCGTCGACCAAGCGTTGGGCCTTCGACCTGGGGAAGTTTCTGGGGGCTAAGCTTCGACGCCTCCGTTTTCGCCTTTGTTTCTTTCTCTCACCAGCTTGCTCGTCGATACCATCCTCCTCACTGTCGCTGTCAGTGTCGCTTTCGCTTTCGCTTTCGCTTTCGGCTTCCACTGAAGCGGAAACGTTGCCGCCATCTGACCCTTTCTTGGAAACGACGTCTACGCCACCGGTGAGGAGTTGTGTGGCCAGGTCTTCGTCGTAGTACCAGCCGGAGGTGTCGTCCCATACCCACCCCTCGTAGCCTGCCTCTTCGGCGGTGTTGGTATCACCGTTGCTACCGCCCGCGTGTTGTTGATTATGTTGCTGTTCCTGCTCCTGTTGCTCTTTGGTCCAAGCTTCTTGTCCTACCCACCCCTAGTTTGTCAACCCGCAAGAATGACGATAGAAAAATCGTCGGGAGGCGAGATCTCGACTTGGTGTCGTTGTCGTGCGACAAAATGAAGTGTGTCGTGCGTTACATGCCGCAGATTTAGACTACGTAACACGCTACTCTTTCGTGTTTGAGCAGAACCAATCGAGCTATTGGAGAACATGGTGTGTGGCCGAGGGGCGGATCCAGCCATTAGAATTAACATGATCACTGGTGTGGTAGATAGAACGGCAGCAACACCTCATCGTTTCTATGGTTCACGAGCGCCCGGAGGGACCGTCTCATAGGGGACTCCTCACGAGAGGCCTCCTGTTAATTATTCTTGTTGTCTTCACAATAGAAACTATTCCGATCTCTACTTTGTACCTGGAAAGTGTGTCCGGGTCGAACTGAGGCAGCTACCTTCCGTGGCCAAGGGTTTTTTCCCAAAAGATGCAACTACGTATGATAGACCATTTTTTCACTCAATGGTTGGCTGAACAACTTGTATGTGCATGCCACAACTCCACCGGGAGAGATAGTGGTACCCTTGTTTGCGGCAATGGCTACAAACATCTTATCCACACGTGAATCCGTTCTTGCACCCAACTCTGGTGACGGTGAGGGTAAGAAGAGATACCACAACATAGCCTTCGTCGTCTCAACGTTTCTGCAATTGGGAACACACAATACTGGTGCAAGGGGACATGGATTGATGTACCTGAGATTGATCGTAGTCATAGCTCCCTGTGCCGAAAGGTTCCGCGCTGTTTTGCCCTTCCGCAAGCAGCATCGCTGACGGGTAGTCCTCGACATCCTGTACGCAGCGTGCACGTGGGCCGAAGATGATCGATGTCGTAAGGGTGTTGGAAGCCATCATCAAAGGGGTACAATCGCGAGACGTCTTTATGTAGAGCAGTTCCGGCTGTGCCCTCAAACCACTGCCGTGGGAGGTAGGTGTAGCTTGGAAACAAGTAAATAAGGTGGATTGTTGGCGAAGAGCGAGTACTAGTATTCTTGGCAGGCCCAGTTCATCCATGTATTCCACTGCTGCTTGTTGCGCTCGTTCTAACCTTATTTTTGCATGTTGACGTCATTTACCTCGGCACCAAAGAGGGCAGGCTTGGACCAAGATGTCTCGCCACTGAGACCGTTGAAGTAGTAGTGTGCACCAGTGGATTCATCGAACACCTTGCTAACCACGGAGGCCAACAGAGCGCGAGTCATACGGATACCTCGCCGCCGCCGCCAAGCTGCCTGGGTTGTCAATTTTTTCAGTGGGCAAGTTGGTCGCAGATAGGACACACATGAGCGCATCCTGTACTGGATAATTGACTAGAGTATTGACAGGGTTATCCAGATAGTCTATTCCGTTATTGTTTTTCGAGGAGAACTACATAAATACGAGCGGAAAAAGTCCGCGGGAGCGCGAGATCTCTGAGAAATTGATTGAGAGAATGACTCCTACACCCAGAAAGGGGAACGGAAGGCTGCAGAGCTGGCGCGGATGCGATTGAGAGTGACACACAGAGAGGGGGTGGACAGAGAACGGCTAGACTACGTACTATTCTGTGATGCAAGCTTTGCTAACTCATAGGCAGATGCAGTACGCACCTCCGAAGTCAACAGCTGCCCTACCACACGTTGTCATAGCTAATTGACGAAAGGTATGATATGACAAAGTCCGAAGGCGTGCAGTGTAGACATTTAAAATTTGACGAGCGCATAGTCGTGAGTGCACACTGCATGAGAGGGGAAGAGATTGTTGAACCCTTTACCAAGAAAAAAAACTTTCCGTTTTTACATTTCCCCTGTGTAACCCCGGCTGGTGCGTCTATGATGCATCGAACGTTGTAGACTGACGCTTAGAATAGATGCGATGAAAACCCGCAAAGAGCACGTGCACACCGGTACATAGGAAGATGGCGGAGGGCTATGGTAAAGATGTTGCCTTCCGTGCGATCGATGTTCCCAGAGTCGTTGAGGGCCCAGTAGCTGAAGGAGCTAGACTAGACTGGCCAAGAGAGCACATGGAACGAATGTGATACTGCTTGATATCTTGCACAACACGTCGGTCCACGAATGGTGGTCTACTGTAGACTATACTACTCTTTACCTGCAACATGACAGCCGCCTCTTCTTCCGTGTACGTCGGAGCTATGGCATCCAGGTCTCCGAACTCGCCTAGGATACGAGTTACCACCGCAGGTGGCTAGCGTAGCCCGAGCAAGGGAAATCGGCGGCAAGACATGCCCGTAAAGCTGCACTGAGGTCGAAATTGGCCGTGGGCGTGTGGGTAGAATATGTATGTACAGTTTTGTAATCGAAGTGTGAGAGGTCCTGAGATGATAGCAATGGCTTAGGAGCCCATCTTGCCCACCACTGCTGTGAAGTACGCGGGCAAAGAAATACATGGAATATACAGACACATTCAACATGCGACCCAGTGGTTGGATGCTGCCAATGGCGACTTGGCTGTTGTGTGATACATGTACTTGCAACCTCCTCGTATGAACAGCACATACATGTTTACAGGAGCTATTTCGCTTCCAACTTTCCAATTTCCAAATCCGTAGACTATAGAACCCAAACACATTGGAGGCATGCTTGACTTGGGCATTGTAGTTCACGGCCATCTCCATCTCACCTGCCATGTTGTTTCGAAGCTGTAGGTATTGTAGTAGTAGTACGCGTGGGTCCTCGGATCGAAGATCTTCTCATACACCAAATTCGCTTGGCGAATCGCTGCCCAAGATTCGCCAGGAATTATGTGCCGAGGGCACGTACATGTATGTTTGTTAGGCGTTGCGAAGTGAGAGTGGCGCAAAGGAAGGCGAGGGAGAGGTCAGCTTCACCCAAACCGGCCTGACCGAAAGTACAAGGCGAGAAAACAAGCATCACCGTCAGAGTAACGCACGGTCACACGCCTTTACCTGCGAGTCGTCCGAGGAAACCGCGTACAACCCGCTGCGCGTGAACAGCAGACGTAACTTCGCGGTCTGAAGGTTCCATCGACAATAAGAGGCGTCCTTCTTCCTGTTCATCGAGTTGTGTCTAGCTTATGGCTAACCCACTCTGCAGCTCGCTCGGCCTCGAGAGCACTAGGTCGGTATCACGGTATCCAAGACAGAGACGACCAACGAAGATCCCACATGACCAAAGCAGAAGGCAAGCAAGATCGGAGATCTGCCGGATGGGGTGTCCCGTCGTTTCTTGTGAGAAAAAGCAGGGGTGTGTTCTCCGTTTCGACTTCCAAGCAGTTCACGGCGCCCCGGCGCCACGAGCTGTGCTGTGAGGCGTGATGCATTTTTCACTATTTTTATTGCTTTGCACGCACCACAACCACCAAGAGAGGGGGAGACAAGAGGGAAAACACGCGGTTGCTCAGCGTTTGCTAACGGCGGGAGAGATGGCTGAAACTGCAATAGTGCCAGCGGCATCAACCGAGGTGGACAGCCTGTTGCTGAGGTAGGCCACGGTTACGTTGTGCTCTGATTTCTTGCAGGCATCAGGATGCTCTCGTCTCTGCTGTCTCCTCCACTTGCATATTTTTCGAAAGCATGTTCAGAGGGGTGTCTGCTCAATCCTCCTGACAAGGTTAATAATCTCGGTGTGCTTTCCTGGTGTCCCTTGCTTCTCTTACTATTGCGTCAAAGATGTCCGCATGGCGTTGCCAGACAGCACAGTTTTGCAGAAAATTTCCTGCTACTGCTGTACAAGTACAGTACATGAGAAATTTGAGTTTGTTTAGGGTCCCTCGTCACGGTCCCGACGGTGCAGGCAGAAGCAAGCACCTTCAAACAACAGCACTACAGCAGTCCTCGCTTTGGGACGGGGGTACTTCAGTACGTGGAGCTACCGCATGGTTGTGTCCAATTTCTACTTGACCCCTCTGGGTCTTAGCTGCTGCTCAACCCGCGAGCGGCTGGACTGTCAGCCGCAGGTTTGAACTTTTTTTTTTTGCTTCCAGAGAAAATATCCACAGCAGAAAAAAGGGGGACAAAAAGAAAGGGAGTCGAGAAGTGCAGCAGAACACGAGAGAAGTCGCTTCGGTAGACGCGACAGCTAGTAGAGACCTAGATGACATAATGGTAGGCCATAATGGTAGGCCACAATGGCAGCCCACGACAGAGTGGTGGCAACTCGTAGGATATTACAAGGGTTGACGGGTGGTCGCGATGCGACGACCGCTACAGCTGGTTAGGCTTGCAGACCTTGGCACATCCATGATTCCCCTGACCTACTCTCTTTTCTGTATATTCAATTGATCAGTCGTATTGATGTAGTAAGAGGGCTACACCCAAAGAAAGAATGTATTTCTGCACCCCCCCCCCCCCTAGAGCCCTGCCGGCTAGCTAGGGCTGCTTTGCCCACAAGCACACCAGCACACAGCAGTTATGGACTTGCCAATACCCGACGTGGAGAGCTAGACGGCGGCAACACCTCGGCTTACACCAGAGCTGTGCATACTAGGACCAATCAATGATCAGTCAGAACGCCTGGAGGCTGCTGTGTTACAACTGTTGGCATCATCAGTGGCAGGGCAAAAATCACCTTCAGAAACCTTACTTTCGGACCCTCTAGTCGGTACTCTGAGAGTACTTCTCTGCAGTTCAAAATTGTAGTCGCATTTCGCATTTGTAGGCGCCACACGGTGGCAACGTTGGTTTCCCGGAACTTGTCGTTTCGTGGCGGCAAGAAAGGGGGAGTTGGATGTCGTCGAGTTGCGTGTGCTTTTTTGTTTTGCCCTGAGCACGCTTACACCCTTGAGACTAGGTCGTGTACCGGCTGACGAGTTCGTTGTCTGTATGACCCCTCGTCGGAGCTCGACAGGAACAGAGAGGCAAAGGCCATACTGTATGCAGAACGAGCGACGAGTGATAGTGTGAGAGGGGCGTGCTGATGTCGAGAAGCACCAGGTGAAGAAGACGTACCCTAAAGTGCCTCTCTCCCGTTGCCCTGTGTGCGGATAACGCAAACCATGAAATCACAGGATGCTTCAACGGTCGCTTGGTGCCGAGACCGATTCGAAGGTAAGTTATTACTAGTAGGTCCATCTGTGCCTCCCTGTTCCATACGTGGCACGTGGTGCGTGACCGGTTTGTTTACCTTCACCGCTTTGCCTGTCCAGTTGCACAAATCCGGAGAAAGCTCCAGAAATCGCGAGTGAGGCCCGAAAGTACATACGTCTATTTTTACCTCTGCGCGTTCTCTCCCTTGTCTAAGACTGCAGCATATTGTTGCATTCGGAGCCCAAAATGTGAAGGCCCGCACAACATTGAGGATCTCGAACGTCTGCGGCATCAATGTGTTGATGCATGTGCATAGCTTTCATCATGGGTAAAGCGGTCAAGTGCATAGATGATTCAGCTATAATGGTCTCGATAAGCGACGGGTGTCGGAGCAGAGAACAAAGCATCCTAATAAGCATGCAGTATGCCGCGTGAAAGTTTCCACTACGTGGAGTGTCCACCATTTTGTCTCGTGAGATCTAGTCTCACTTGGGGATGGCCCTGTGTCCACCCAACGTGATATGCTGTGATGGGTTCGCGACTTGGTCGTTTTGACGTAGATACTATCGTTCTTGCTTTGTCGGAGTGATTAATCTGCCTTTCGTCTTCTCTACCCCCCTCGCCCTTTCCGATAGGTTTATGAGAAGAACCTCCACGACACCATGGCAGAGTTCCCCGAGCTTAGGAAGCAGCGCAAGATCGATTACTATCGGCGAGTCGGGGGAGCCACCTCCTAGCAGCAGTATTTGCAACACTGACACTCCTTACACGCCTGTGTCAATGTCGGAGCGATCGGAGCGACACACCGCGTGTAGACTATGTACACATGTGCACGACTTTGGTCGGGTGCGACTGCCAACCCGCTTGAACGAAGTGGCGTCCGTGTGTTGGCTGTCTGAGCCTGTCTTGATTTTTCCCTTGAGCCTGAGCGGCAGCTATTCGTGTGTTTGTGTGTCGTCCAAAGGCCGGCACGAAGAGTTGCAGGGACACTTGTAGCACCAGCTGTTGGTGCTCGCAGTCTTGTCTGCGGTATTGTTTTCTACTTCCGCTGGAGGCGATGACAACCTATAAAGTACCAAACCCTTTCGTGTGACCTCTCTTTCCATGCATTTCACTCTTGTTAAAAAGTACTTTCTCGCGCGTGGCTTTCGTTTTTTCAGCTCGCCTCTCGCCGAGGGTATAACCAAGACCAGTGCTTTCTGAAGCGACTGTGTTAGGTTGACAAACCAATACTTGTACAAGTGTTTTTCTTGTATCATTGATGGTGCTCAGGGTGTCCTGCAAAATCCTTTAGTTTTGTTGTCGATGTGCACATGATCGCCCCTGCTCAAAAGGAGCTTCGAGCTCGTGATCGTTTTCAGCAGTGATTCGTGCATGCTTCCACGACTGTGGCAGGGCACCCGGAGTTCCTGAAGTTTGTTTTGTTTTGACTGTCTCTGGTTGCGATTCTGTTCCGCGTTTGTTGTTACGCTGGAGCAGGGTATTCAAGCTCATGGACGAGAAGGACAACGCTAGGGAGCGCCGCAGGAAGGTTTTCGAGTATTTCAACGGCGCTATTTCCAGACAAAACAAGTGAGACGAGAGCAATCAAAGTCGAGCTAATTTCGTGAGCAAAGGTTTGGTATGATAAGTGTTTTATAGTTTTTGCACTTCGCCGGGCACAACGAGGAGAAATGGGCAGTACCACAACAGTAGAGCGCAACGTAGATGTGTCCTTGAAATATTTGACGTGGAGACGTTGCTTTTGAACCAATCGACATTCATGAGTTCTTCAGTGGACGAAACTTATCTGCTGTCATTCAATGTTCGACGAGCTGGCATTCTTCCTTGTTCCGCTAGTTGTTTTTTTGCTTCTTGTTGTGCTACCGCAGCAAGCTACCCGACCCTGCCCTGTTTTTGCTTCGTGCGTCTTCCTTGTTGCATTTTGTATACATGGTGGAACCCTTGTGCTACATGACCAATAAGAATCCTAAGCCTCTTCTTGTCCCACGGTAACTTGAATTAATCCATGAGTTGGTCCATCCGTTGCCCCTTCTCTCCGTGGTGGCAGCTTCCAGACGGGAGAAATCTACGAGGTCTCCCGAGAGCTGCTGATGCTAGTAGACGGTGAGGTTTTGCCAGTAGGTGCAACGAAATGGCAGAGCGGGGGGAAAGAGGGTCCGAAAAGTTTCCGAGATGAGCGCCGCTTTACACGTTTGCACAAATTTGAATGATATTGCCAAAACCTAAGAACGGCATTGTTGCTGGTCCTTGCGTAGGCCGTTCATGCTCTTGTCTGGCATACTTGTGCTATGACTCTCTGTGCTCTTTGCCTTAGGGTGTGACTGTCGTGGTGTGCCTGCTCCGTTCAGGACGCTTATGCACATTTTCCAATCGTTCACCCCATGGCATTTCCGAAGTCCAATGCTCCCTCCCTCTCTCCCCCCTTACCCGCCCAGTGGCTACGGGCTGACTCTCTGTTTTCTGCCTTGCTTGCTTCTTCATCACATGGCTCGACGACAACGATTAAATGATCGGTTATTCCCCTTGATTGATTCTTCCTATAAACAGAGTTTCGGGAGTTGCTGGATCGGCTGTTCTCGTGGTGTGATTTGTGTTTGCCGGGGAACGATCAGGCGTTTGCGGAGTCGCACCGCCAGAAGATTCAGAAGTTTCAGGTCCAGATCGTCCAAGAGATGAAGCGATCGAACAGCGCTCGCTCTCAGGTACGTACTTGTGCAGAGGCGAAACCGCTATTTGGGGTGCAGAGGCGAAACCGCTATGCGGAGCTGTGTTGGGTCTGGATGAGGACAAGGATCATGCCAGGCGTGGGCTAGGAGGAGGAGTAGGCATGGGGGTCGACAGAGCCAGCTCGTTCTCGTGTCCGGTGTAGAGTTGGGATATGGGCTAGGATCAAAGGAGTACGAAAAGTTATTTAGGGTCAAGTCAGGGGCATGGCATTGACCATTTGCAGATGCATCGCTCGCTCTGATGTGCTGCGAACGGTAAGAACGGGACACAAGAGATTGGAGCGGTCCAATGCTGCATGGTGTAAAGCAACTGGTGCCCGACAAATTGTGTTCGGTCTCGTGACGTTGTTGTCGCTCCCCCGCCCCTGCTGCCCCTTCCCTAACTTTTTTCTCTTTGGTTTGCGCATTGTTTGCTTGAAAGGTCAATTCC